ACTAATTTTAATATTTTTTTATAAAAACGAAAAAAACATTGTAATTTTCATTTTTTACAACGATTTTAAATTTATTTTAAACTTTTCAAGCCATTTATATATCACTAAAAAACCCAAAAAGTAATCTGATGAGAGTGGGATTCGAACCCACGCCTCCGAAGAGACTGGTGCCTTAAACCAGCGCCTTAGACCGCTCGGCCATCTCACCACGGCTCGTTCTTTCGCTAAAACCCTCCGTGAATAAAGAGAGGGCTCTTGTTGCAGCGCTGTGGGAGAGAGAAAAGCTGTAATAATATCGAAAAACGGAAAGTTAAAAATTTTATTTATTCACCACGATTTAAATTTTGTGTTCTTTAAGTTTTGTGGTTTTTAATTTCTGTCAATCTTTTTGCGGTTTTAATAATTTTTGACAGTGATTCAGGTGGTTATTATTATTTGATGGAAAACGGAGGATTTTTGCACAAATTTGAGTTTAAAATAGTGTTTTCTTGGTATTTTATAGAAGTTTTTTGATTTTTAAGATTATTTTTATGAAATTTTTTGGATTTTTTTTTATTTTTTCGCTATTTTGCTCCATTTTTGGCTTTGTTCAAGCATTTTATAAACATTTAAGGCTATGATGTGCCCATGTTAAATCCTTCTGGCCATGAAACATTTCGTACTCTTGAATCACGCCTTCCTCAACCGTTTTCTCTAATCATTTCCCGCATATTACTTATTCAGCAGTGTCTTTTAAATTGTTTTAAGGCTAAACTATTCTTACTCGCTTCCATGTTCATGTTTGTACCGTGGCCAACTTTGACAGGCTGGGCAGAGTGCACTGGAAGTCGAGATGGGGGTGAGAAGCGAGAGCACAAGACCCGGGCTTTCAAGGCCCGAAGGGACATTAGGTCCACCAAAAAGAAGAAACGGAGTAGACCTTTTTTTCGTTTTTTGCCTGCCCATGTATCCTCGTTTTGGGCGCTCTCTCATTCCCGACTGGCTGGCTTCTGCTCTTTTCCCCACCGAGTTGTGGGTATACATGGAAAGTGGGGGGAAAATTTTAAAATTTATTCTTTTTCGCTCCGAAATTTACAAATCTATAAAGTGTTTTGTCAATATCAGTCAGTGAATTTTTTTGTCGGTCCGCAAAGGTCATAAAAACGGTGTTGTTGTAGAGGAATTCGTGGGGATTGGTGCGGTGTGGGATGATAGAACCGATCGTGACGCATTTTCTTGCCGTTTTTCAAGGCATGTTATTACTGCTTTTTTAATAGACATGACGTTATAGCCAGCTGGTTGGGAACAAAACAAGTGGGGCTTTAGTAGACGCATTCTTCGGCCAAATTTAAATAGGTTTAATTGACAAGTTGGTGTAGTTTAAGGTGGGAAGGTCGACATTTTATAAAGAAAAAATGTTTTTTTTACAATTTTGAGATCATTTTGTTTGTCAAATTTTTAATCTTTATGGTATGATACATAATTTAAAACTAAAAGTTTGAGTATGTTAACGTAATTTAAAAAATTTTTAATATTGGCGTTGAAATCCAATTTTAAAATAAACTTTGTTACATAGATTAATGCGTAGGAAGTACAGCATTAAAGGTTATTAGCCACTTTTTATGTTTTGCAAAGTTTCAGGCTGCCAATTACGAATTAAATTGCTCATGGCTATTTTATGAAATAATATTACTTTATTGTTAGCCTCATTTTTTACGTTAGCTTCAGTTTATTTATTAGGTTTAGCAGCATCTAACATTAATAATAAAATTTATTTTTTATTTTTGTATACCTTCTTTAATAGGTGACGTTAATGTGGTATAGATTTTTTACAGCAAAGTGTATAATTTTACTAAATCATAGATTATATTCCAAGGATAGGATACGTTTTTGCATCGGTACAATAAAATTAAAAACAATTTTTTGTATTTATCTTTTGCTCTACTTTTAATTACTGGTAATTTCTTTAATTTACAACTCTGTGATTCGTAGTTATATTGTCATAAAGATTTTTGATGTTTAAACAACAATCTTTATTGGTATTCTTTCGTATTTTTCGCAAATAATTGCGTTATCGGTATTACTATTTCATTTTATTTTTCTTCAATTGCTAAAATAAATATGTCTCAATGTAGGTTTTATGACACTATAATGGAACACTTGTATAACGAATAGCTTGAAGATTTTAAAATTGTTCATTGTAAGAGTATTGTTATAAAGGAGTTTTAAACGTAGAAATAGCCGAAGATTTAAATGCTGTTTGTTATTTTTTTGTGATGTTATAGAAGGCTTTTGTTATACAAAGGTGTCGTTGTATTTAAAAATTTTGGCATTTCAAAGCTAGGCTATGGCAATAAAAAAAGGTGTTTTAGAGAAGCGTTGGAGGGGCTTTTTACCTTTAATATTTTTTATTCTAGGCTACTGTGGCATATATAAAGTTTTAAAAAAAGTCTATTCATTTTTTCAACGCAAGATATCCATCCAGGTGCCCTTGTTTCTTGAGATACTTAGTCGTGGCTTTATATATCCAAATTTCCTTATTTCTTGTCCCAATTGTATCGTTTTCCTCTTCATGCTATTTGCCATGCATGTAACTTTCTATTTTTGTAATTCACTACGCAATACTTTTCTCAAGCCACAATACCTCAAACGTAGTTTATTATTATTGTGACACACTAATTCGAATGTGTTTATTTCCACGACAAAACAAGTCTCTGCTTCACTAGCGTCTTGTATTCTACTAATTTTGCATGTGACGTGGCCATGAAGAGCGCTAATCGCTTCAGGGGCCAAAATGACTGTGTTTTTCGAGGGCTTGGTTTTCTCCTGATTTTTGTTTGTTTTTTATAATGGCACGGCAATAAAGCATGATTTGGCACGTAGTTGTTGTGCGGGCGGGTGGAGTGGTATTTTGGTTTTTGTTTCATTTGATGTATTTATATGTTGGTATTGTATTTTCAAATGACATTTACATATTTTTTGTTTACTTGTTGACTTAATTATAAATAACATTATATTTTACGGTTAATTAAGGCTTAAAACTATAGCAAATATATATTCAGATCTTTTCTTTTGTTTTTCTTACAATATACGTTTTTATAGTTAGCTAGTTTTGCTAGTACTCTTTTGATTCACTATTATTTTCGACGTATTTTACTTTTAAAATTAAGTTTTTTGGTATAATAAACTACATTATGAACGAATGGTTTTAGGTTTTGCTCTAGTGAACGATGAAGAAGAAAAAAAGGAAAAAATTTTTTTGAAGTTTATTATTGGGGAGCTAAGTTTTTTGAAAAAAAAATTGAAGTTTCTACTCTTTCCCTTATCATACTATAGAAATCTTTGTATTCTGGTGTCCCCTCTATATACAGTAAAGTCTGAGTCCTAGAATATATTGTATCATGAAGTAAAGTCTCTCCAAAGTAAATTTAAAAAAAATTTTTTGACTAAAATTTTCCACAAAATCACTCCATCTTCTACTGCCTATGATGAGTTAATAGTAGTCGAGGAATTCCCACTATTTTCCGCTTTCTGTGCATGTGAATAACGGGCCAAGAGAGTGCAAGGCAACCACGGAATGCCTCTCTTAGAAATGAGGAACACAAGAGAAATCTCGCCTTTTTCTCTTTATTATTTTTACGATATATGGGGCATGCTTTTGGCAACTGTCGGTTAACAAGCGTTCAGCCGATTAGGGTTTAATTAAATGTCAACGCTTTGTATGTGGGTGACATTCAATTAGTGGCATGATGACATTGGGGGGTGACATTCTAGGGTTTTTAATGACATTGTTGGGTATTATAATGACTTTGTAAGGTATTATAATGACATTTTAGGGTGTTATAATGATATGCTGGGGTGTTGTAATGACAAGATAATATGTTAGATGGCACTTAATTACTAAGGTGTGTTAAAGTTTCGTGGGAATAGTATGAAAGTGATGTTATGATAGCTAACTGGGAGTTATTGCCCAATGATAAGTCATTTTTAAGTATACAAAAGTTAAGGCATTTTATGTATTGTCATGATAAGTCATGTTTTAATATTGTAATAAGAAGTCATTTGAAGTATTGAAACGTGAAGATTAAGGTTTCTGTGTAATCTTACGAGGAGATTAAAGGTAGTGCTAAGCTGGGAGGTGTAGTATGGCAAGAGAATCAAAAACATTTTTTTTTCTTGTTGCTCTGCTTTGTATGGAGGTATAAGGATAACACACACTGGATCTCTTGGATAATGAACTGCTTAAGAATTCCGATTTTTTTGCAGTAAGCCCTCTTTAGTATGATTTTTAATAGTATGACACCTTCTTTATAATGACAGCTTTAAGGTTATCAAAAATTACCTCGATATTCTGACATCTTGGTTATAACGGCACTTTGGTCTAGTCTTTTGAGTGTCGTACTGAAGAGGTTTGCCTGTAGTTATAAAGAATTTTTTCTGTACAGGAGCTTTTAATGAACGGTGAATTGCTAACAGGAGATTTAAAACTTTGTTTGCTATAAGAGATTTTCGTTATATAGGAGCTTGTTACAGAGAAGCTTGTTATACAGGAGTTTCACTGTAGTTTTGGCAAGTTTCTGAAGCGTATGTGAGGCCATCATTAACGTTGTAACATTAAAAATTATATTTGCCAGCATCGAAGCTACAATAAAAACCTATTCTTCCGTCTTTCTTCTATCTCCCATAACATTCGAGGCGTCTTCGGGTTTGGCAATTCCGTAACACATGCGTCAAAGTTGAAATCCGTCGGAATTGGGGACAAATTTTTCGGACAGGATCTGAAGACAGGAACTTGAGGAGGGGGAGAGGCGTCGAGGAGATGTAAATAAGGTCTTTTAAGCACGGTCCCGTCAGCCGCATATTTCTCCTTAAAAAGGCTACTTTAGGACCTCCAGCATTTTTTGTTCTAATCAAAATAGAGAAAAGTTTGGTGCAAAATATTTGTTAGTTTGGCAGCCCGGGTCGGTGAGACGTCCCATGTTCTTCTGAATCCTGTTTATCGTCCGGGGATTCGCGTCCACATGAAGGACTTGTTGCTCGCTGCCGAGGAAGTGGCCGTAAGTTGTTGATGTTGTTGTGATCTGTCCGTGATAAGAGTAAGCTGCTTTGTGAGGATTTGGGTATCAGGTTATAAGAGTGGACGATTGGAGGGGTGTTGTAAGGACGGTTTATTATTGTAAGGAAAGAATGAGTAGGCGCTTAGAAAGAAAAGAATGAGACTGTGAGATTGAGGAAGTGTTGCGCTTGTTGGTGGGTTATATAAGGGAAATCAGTGTCTTCATGGGCACAAGAGTACAAGTATCAATATTATCCTGAATTTTCATGTAAAAATTTGCCCAATGAAAGTGATTAGACAAATTGTCCGTTGGAAGAAAGCCTCAAAAAATGAAATTTTTTAATTTTTAAAACAAAATTTTTAGTTTTTAAATAAAAAAAACCAATTTTTAGGTTAACATTGTAATAAAAATGTCTATGCAAAGCCCTTTTACAGCATTTTTCAACATTTCTTAAAGCTTTTGCATGTGTACATAGTCTTTTCGGGGGTAGATTACACCTCGCAAGCTCCAAACTTTATATCCTTGCGTGGGGGTCACATTAGTGTCCTCGTCTACGTTTAAATTCACAACTATAGTCGAGGAAACATTAAAATTTTTGTTTTAGAAGCGTTTTGGAATTACATTGTAAATCTGTTGCTAGGCAGTTTTGTTTAATTTAATTTTGAGTCTTGGCACGAAAATATGCATTCAGTAAATTTTGGGTGAAAAATTAATTTTTTGGGGCAAATTTGATAAGGTGTAAAGTAAGATGATATTTTATAATTTGGTTTTGTTTATGAGCTTTTCTTTCTATCAAGGGTACCTTGAAAGCTATTACGGTGTTCACATGATTCTGCGCCTCTAACTCCACAAATTTGATTTGGAAGAGGGCACATAATTATTTGAACAACCTATTACAAATCTTAATTTTATAACTTGCCTGCAGCCCTATACCTCCAAAAACCTATACCTATATCAAAACACTGTCAACTCTGTCACTTCCTAACCTCATATCCATCCACACCGTAGGCCCTAAATTGAATCAGTTCGTGATTGTTTTTGCCTCGTTTGCCGTTCCAAACAGAAAATTTAAAATAGATGGCCATTTTGCAGGACGAAATGGCGTCCAGTGGAAGCGACAACGAAGAAGCCCAATTGGCCCAGTGCCAAGCCTACGTCCATCGCCACAACATCCAACAACTGGTCAAGGAGGCGGTGGTCAGTTTGTGCATCCACAAGCCCGACAACCCGGTCCTATTTCTGAAGGAGCATTTCGAGAAGTTGAACGAGCATAGGGCGCAGGTCGGTTTTTGAATTTTTGATTTTTTTTGAAAAATTTAAATTTTTGAAAACTTTTTGAAAAATGAAAAAAAAACGCTTTGGTAAAGAAAAAGCTGTCATATACGATAAATTTTTTTATATAGAAGTGGTATATAAACTGGCATTTTAAGAAATGTTATCAAACTTTAAAAAATTATGAAAATTGTTACCTAAAATACCAATTTTTCCACAAAATTTGTCTAAAGACTGCCATTTTCTTGAAGCCATTATTAATGACGTTAATCTAGAATTAATAATAATTTGCCAGATGCTAGATCACGTTCGAAAAGAACGTTTTTTCCCTTTTTCCAACAAGCCCTTAGGTCATAAAATTGACGCGATTCGAAAACGTTCTTGTTTTCCAACTTTTTGATAAGAGAATGTGGAAAAGTTTAGGCCACCACTTTTGAAAAGTGTTAGTTTGATATTCGTTTTGTAGGGTTTTAGGGTTTATTTTGGTACTGTTCTGTATTGACAAAAATTTTTTTAACTAGGGAATTGCACAAAATACCCTATGAGTTTTTGGGTAAGACCTATATAGGATGAAAGAGTGTAAAAGGTAACCGGAAAAGCTGTTTTTAAAAACTGCTAAATAGCCTGGACTAGAGAGTTACAGAACGCTCAATATTCTTGACTAGTCAAAAGCCATATCCGTTCAAAAAGTAATATTTTAATTTTTTATCAAAATATTGATTGGAATGTCAAAAAATCTTGTTATAACGCCAAAATGCCAAAATAAAACTGGCGTGACTCGAACTTACTCTGCACCCATGACTAAGCCTAGCTTAATCTCTAGGCTATACTGAATAGATTCCTTAATCTGTTCGTTTTGCTCAGGATGAACGATAAGGTCAAAAGGGTTTTTCTATGTAAATTCGTTTGCCGTCAATATATTGCTGGCCGAATATCTCTCTAACCGAGACCAGTTAGCAGTTTTTAAAAAAATTTTTTTCCTGGAGCTTTTTAAGCTCTTTTATTCTATGTACGTAGGTATTGTTTGAAAGCCAAATATTTGGTGCAATTTCTAGTAAGGCAAAACTTTTTTTGACCATTGCTATTTTAGGGCTATAAGAGAGACTATTTTCAAAATTTTGTTGACTTTCTTTTTAATAAAGTTGAGTTTTGTAACTTGATCATCGCACTTTCTCACCAACCCATAGTTACTATCACTCCCCAATAGTAACTAACCAAACCACCACCTTTGATGAATGACTTTTGCGTTTTACTACATTGTTTTTGAGCAATTTATTTGAACCAAGACTCCTTGTTTTCGGATCTTTATACTGTTTTCTGGTCGGATATTTGCATGACGTCAGTTGGCTACATAAATCTTGTTCTTATGCCAAACTTAATGTGAATGTTTTATTCGTTTGTCTGTCGATTCGGAAATTAATGAAAAGAGATTAGAAGGGAGAATACATAAGGGTTCTGGTGATCATCAGGTTTTCACAATAGGAAATGGCAGTAATTTTTTGGCGGGGGTATAAAGGAACTTAGACTTTTTTAAATTTGAAAATTTAGAAAGGGTAATTTTTATTATTATCTTACATTTTATCTGGTTGTTCAAGTAATTGTATGACCTATAACCCTAAAAATATTTTTTGAGAGAGGGCACAGAATTATGTGAACATTCTAATAAGTTGTCTGTAGCTATAATATGTTTATCGCCTATAAAGATTCTCTGTATTCCGTTGTTCAAAAAATCTTGAGCTACTTATTACAGTAAATTTGCGTTGAGAATGGCTCAGGATTATTTGAACAACTTAACAATACAATTTTTTTTGCCTCAAAATTTAAAAAAATTATAGAAAAATGCTTTTTACTGCAGTGTAAGGTAGATCTTCAAAATCAATTTAAAAAAAATTGTGTTTATTAAGTAGTAGTTAAAACATTGAAAATTAAGTAACCCCCCAATATGTTTTCGACTAAACAGGTCCCACTATCATGCTCTGAATATTTGGGGAAAAAAAACCAATTGTTTGAACCCTGAGGGGAAAGAAGAGGGGCTTTCAATCAGACCTCCGTCATTATATTGAAAAGGGCCGCTTTGCATTAACTTTTCTTGATTATGGGTCAGTTCTCTTGTTATCGGGGGAAATCATTTCCAAATTTTTAAATTTTTTAAAGGATTTTTCGCTAGTTTTTTTGGGTTTTTATGAATACTTTTGGTTTAGATTGGTACTCCAGGGTACAGCCTTATCAAAACCTTGGGCAGGGGTGAAGGAAAGAGGGTGAAAAAAATTTTTTTTATTGACAACCGGCTGTGAAATTATTTTTTTCAAAATTGTTTATAAGGAGTTGTAGTTACTTTTTTACCCTCTGTTAGACTTGTAAAGGGTTATAGGCTGGTATCGGGCCCTCAGGCCAGCGTGTTCAGGCCCAGCTACTTTCAAATTTGCTGCGGGTTGGGGTCGAGCTGGTTGAGATGGTCGAGTAGGCGCCTTTTCAGGTCTACCCTCTCCCTCTGCTAGCTTTGTTTTCAAAAAAATTTTTTTAGTGCTGCTCTAATTATAGCATTGTCTATCCTACAGCGCATCGTCAACCAATTTTTACCCCCTCCCTCTCGCCTCACCCCACCCGGCTCGTCGTAAGTCGTACGATCGAAGCGGGCGCCCCTAAAAGAGTGGCAATGGCCAAAATATAGGGCATGGAGGACGAAAAGGGCATGGGGAATATATCTCCGGCCGTTCCTGCCTTTCGCTTTTTGCACCGGGTCCAGAACCGCTTCCCTCCTCCCGTCTTGTGCTCGCTTTTTTTGTTTTGTCCTTAATCATTTGGGGGGCTTGATTTTTATGGGATCCCCGATACCAACCGAATTTGAGGACACACGTCTCGCTTCACATCAAATCTGGCCTGACGTGATGGCTCACAATTGCCAATGTCAAACAATACCCCGCGGCTGGGTTGGGGGTGTAAAGGGAAACGTGATAGGCTCGTCAAATATATGTCATTTGGGGTTTACACTTTGTTTGACAACTTTATTAAATGCGGTTTAAGGGGTCGGGGTATGGGTGGATTTAAGTTAGTTTTTTTGAGTTAGGGCGGTGGTTGAAGAAGCGTGTTAGGGTTCGGAATTATAAATTTTTAAAAAGTTTTTTATTTTCAAAAAATTTGCTTAAAAAATGTTTTTTTGCTAATTTTAAGCTAGAAAATTCACTTTTTTTAAAAACAAATTTTTATTTTTTTCGTTGTAATGATCTGCTTGAACTGAACCGCCGAGCCTTCCTCTACACTCAAAATTTCATCTTTTTGCCATTTTTAAATCAAGCATAGACCAACTCTTATATTTTATTATTTTCATCCCCTACCAAAGCCCCCATCCTTATAAAAAGCTTCAGCCCAATTGCGCGTATTATTTCTCAACTCAATTAATTTACTCTCCCAGTGAATTTTATTTCTTTGCGCCCGCAGGCTTACTTCTTTACTGCAAATTCCAAATTAATTACTGTTTTTGGGGAAAGCCATGAAATATGAAAGTAGTAGGGAAAGGTTTTATTCTTTTTCACCTGCTCCATGCATGACCAGGCATGTTAGTGGGGAATGGCAGGGCTTTTGTTGACTTTAAGTTTTTTATCGTTTGGTTTGGTAATTGGCATAATTTTACGTTTTTAATCGTTTTTAAATTTTTTTGATATTTTTGGGCTTTCTAAATTATAAAAATTACTTTGGAAAGAGGTCAGAATTATTTGAACGCCTTGATAACCCTACTTTTACTTGTTACGACATTACTTTTTTAAAATAAAAAGTTTTTGTAAAGCAAGACAAATCAATGGTAAAGTAGGTAGTACAATATGCTTAACATAAAATAGTAGACGGAAGTGTAAACTCATTACAGCTTTATAAGTATAGACTTTAAGAATCGAGCATTACATAGTAAACAAATTGATCAAAACTTAACTTTTACGCTTATTTGGAAGACTTAAAACCTGCTGGCTTTAAAATCGATGACACTTTTGTACTGACGGTCAGAAAGTACAAAGAAAAGTGTATTTTAAGACTGAAAGAACATTTTATATAGGAGTTAGGTTAGGGCTTGACTGTAGAGAAATCATGTATTAGCTAGGCTTGGTAATAAGTTGAGTTCCGTGGAACAAGAGTGTCTTAGCTTTTTTTTATCACCTGAGGTACACTAATTAAAAAGCTGTTTAATAATTGATAAAGTAACTTTAAAAACCTTTAATTGAAAAAAATGTAAAAAGTATCTTTGTTCTTCCTTCAATTTTCAATTTTTAAAGACTCAAAAGGCGCTTATATTGTTTATGTTGATCATTCTCGCTCTTCTCGTCTGACCACGTGTTGTTTTAGTTGTTTGATTGAACTTCTGCAAGGAGTTCAAGATTCTTTTGATTTTTGAGTGTATCTAGGATTTTTTGAAAATAATTTTGGAATCTTTGTTTTAAAGGACTTTTTTAATGTATCTTGTTCATCCATAAATAGCGTATTATTCTTAATTTGCACATTATACAGTTTTGAACCAAATCTCTTAATCTTCTCACAAATCTACTTTTACAATCCCAATTACACTTTTTTGGTTAAGGACTTTTATTAACGACACTATGACTCAGTCTTAGCACGCTAAAGAAGCCAGAAGAATTAAAATTCTAGAGCTATTTTCCTATAAGACCCTTGCTTTTGTGTTGTTTAAACCGTTTCGAAAAGCTTACAAATATGATATTTGGCTTGAGCTGCAACGAATAATAGATTTGTTTGCGATCCCTAATTTTCGAAAACAAATTCTTTGTTGTTGCAGAGAATTTCGAATTTTTGGAGGAAAATATATTAGTATGAGCTATAGGTTTATGGTTTTTATAATAGTACAGTGAACTCCTGTATAACGAACAGATTTCAAGTCCTCGAGCGATTCGTTATACAGGAGTTCTACTTTATAAGCTTTATGGTTTTTGTAACAACATAGGGCTTGTCAATAATTTTTAAGGTTTTGGAGGGATAAAAGATGTCTTGTAGAGCCAGAAAAAAATTTTTGAACTATTGTTTTACTACATTTAAAGCAAACATTATTGCTTTTCTGTACGTAATAGTACGTTGCGTAAAAGGTATTTTCATTTTTTTACTGTTAGTTAGTCTCTCCGTATTTTACCTTCTTATTAAGTGCTAAGTGCACGGAAACTATAGCAAATCGGTTGCTTGGCCTACCTAAGCTTCCGACTACGGCCTGAATACTTGAGGACCTTGAGGAGTATCTCATCACAACTCAGCAGCTCGAAAAGCAGGATTGCCTGTGTATGACCCAATTGGGAACAGCTAAACTGTATTGCTCTAACTGTCTTCGCCAAACTTTTACTATTTCCCCTCACGTCTCAAATTATGTATCTTACTTTGGAAAAGAGGAATGAATTTTTTTATTATAAGCTAATCACCCCTACCTTACCTCTCTATTATAACCTACTCACTCCCATCTTTATCAAATTTCTCCAATCTTTCTCGTACTTCATGATATTGTCATGAAAACGCACCCGACCAACCCGACATGACTAATGTTTGCTCTTGACATTCCATTTCGAACTTGTTACCGCATTGAATTTCTAATAACAATGTGTTTTATTCATTGCGTTTTTATCAAAACTGATGAAAGAATTCCCCCTCCGCCTCTCTTTGATTCAGGAAATTGTGAGCCCCTCTCGACTCTCGGTCAGCCTTTCCCGACTATGAATCGGTTTCCAAAACATAAATTCGTTTCGCTTTTTTTTGGCTTTTTACCCTCGGGGTGTGAAACAAAAATATTTTGTTTTGGTTGGGGATTTGATACAATTGTCTTTATGTTTTTGGGGATTAAATTGGGTTAGGAGTTTGGAAAAGTTGTGTTTTAGATATACATAAAGTTTTTAGTGTTGTTGCTTTTTTGATAATGGGCTCTTTTGGTGACACAACATTATCATCAAACGTGATAAACAGTAATTGACAAGAATATTGATTTACCAAGTTATTTCTTTATTCTAGCTAGCTTTTTCTTTATTTTACTTCCATTAGTTATTATGGGTCTTTACTGGGTTAAAAAGTATATGTTTATATGTATAATATTAACTATGTGCTTCAAGCATTCTTAATAGTAGATATTACGTTGTCTTTAACGCGGAACTTCTTTTCCTTTAATAACAACTATCTTTTCATTAACAGTGCCAATATTAACTGCCTTCGAAGAGCAGTTCGGTATTGTCATATGGGCCAAAAGTTGAGCTCGCGACGCTCACCGCGTCAAGCACAAGGTGGTACCGCTACAGTTAATCCTACAGAATCTAGCTCACCCAAATTAAAAAAGGTACAAAATTATTTTAAAATTTTGTTAAAAATTGATAAATTTAAAATAAAACAAAATTAGTTCAAAATTTTTTAATTTTTGACTTTTATTTTTGTAAATTGTATTTCTATTTAAAACAGTTTTATTAATTGCGATTAAGTTTATATAGAATACGAAAGTAAGCTAGAATTATTTAGCTGGCCTGATTATTTTGGTCAAAGTTTACTATTTTAAAAATAAACAAAACCTCAACGATCTTTGCTTTTCAAAAATAGATTAAAACGAGTAAACTCAAAATACTGTGACATATACTATTTAAAATAACTATTATATGTGTACATGCTTACGTACACAACAGTATCTTTAGGTTAACATAAAGCAAATTATTTTTCAAGTTATTTTAGAATACTAGGTGAAAAAGTAGATAGAAAATGAAAAATTTTTAATTTTAAGCGTAGGAGCACAATCAGAAGTTTTTTTTACTCAAGTAGAGCATAAAAATATAGTATTACGTAGAAAAAAGAAAGGTGAATGTAAAGTAAAACTTAAAATTATCGTATATGACAGCTCAAAAATAGAGTAAAACAGCATAAAAAATTAAATTAAATTCAAAGTTTTAAAAATTAGATTTTGAAAGTTTTCTGAAGGCGTTGAGTAGTCATCAAAAGGCTTCTGAAGGCTCTACAGAATCGGCTTTTGAAAGGTCTAAATACGTTGAAAAAAACTTGTTTTAGATGTCAAAAATCCTATTTTTAGCGGTAAAATTATATTTCAGTAAAAAAACATGTCAGAAATTACATTTTGGATGTCAAAAATAGCCTTCAGAAGTCAAAACGTATCTAAGAACGTCAAAAAACTATCTAACCACATCAAAACGTATCCCGAAGATGTCAAAAATCATTATGCAAATTAAGTTTGTGTTATTTCAGGAAGTTCAGGACGCGCAAGCTGAAGAGGATGACACCTTGGACGAGCCTCCGCGCATCCCTACCCGCGGCCAACGCCGACTGGGCGTGTCCGCCGAGGTGCCGGACGAGAACGAAGCCGCCAACTACGTGAAAGTTGTCATTCCAAAAGACGCCGAAACCCAGAACTCGCTGAAGAAGGCCATGTGCAAGAACGTGCTGTTCGCTCACTTGGACAAGGACGAGGAGAAGGCCATCTTCGACGCCATGTTCCCGGTGGAGAAGAAGGAGGGCGAGACCATCATTCAACAGGTAGGAATTTGGATTTAAAGTTTATTTTTTTTAAAGTTTAGGTAACAAGAGAGGGTTTTAAGAGTGATATGGCTCCCAGGCTTTATTCTTTGCTTCAAAATTCGACTATAAAACGAAAAGCCACAAAATTATCGGTTTTGTAAACGAAATGTCAAAGAAATTATTGGATAGAAAAATGTTTTTCTATTTTCTCTGAAATTTCATTCTCTTACCTTTATTATCTATTTTTTCAATATTATAACGATTTTCAACGCTAATCCTTCAATCTCCAGGGCGAAGAAGGAGACAACTTCTACGTGATCGACTCAGGAAAGGTTGATGTCTTCGTCAACAACCAATACTGCCTCACCATCAACGAGGGCGGCTCGTTCGGTGAGCTGGCGTTGATCTACGGCACTCCGCGTGCCGCCACCATCAAGGCCAAGACCGACGTCAAGTTGTGGGCGATTGATCGATTGACCTATCGTGCTATTCTCATGGGATCCACAATGAGAAAGAGAAAAATGTACGATGAATTCTTGTCCCGAGTGCAGATCTTGTGTAAGTGATTTTTGGTTGTTCTTGTGGGTAAGGGGGTGGGAGGGATATTTTTTGGTGGAAAATTAAGATTTTACGGCTTTTAAAGTAAAATACGAAGATATACAGAGTTTTAACTTCTCTGTGTATTGATAGCTAAGGTTTTGAAAATGTTCGTTATACGAAATTCTCGTTATAACAAAGTTCGTCGTTCAAGAGTTTCATCGTATATATGATTTCAGCTGACCTGGACAAATGGGAACGTGCCAATCTTGCTGACGCTTTGGAACGATGCGACTTTGAGCCTGGAACTCACGTTGTTGAACAAGGTCAACCAGGCGACGAGTTCTTCATCATTCTGGACGGACAAGCTCAGGTGCTTCAGAAGCGAAGCGACGATGCTCCATTTGAGAAAGTCGGAAACTTGGGATCTTCGGATTACTTTGGTAAGTGTTTTACTGTAAAGAAAGTTTTTTCGTTTTTAGGTATTTAAAGGAAAGTTTTGACTTTTTGGCATGAAATAAAGAAAGTTTTAGCAATTTTTTGTTTTGTAAAGAAAGTTTTTGCAATTTTTTGTTTTGTAAAGAAAGTATTTACCATTTTTTGTTTTGTAAAGAAATTTTCTGTCACTTTTTGTTTTGTAAACAAAATTTTTACTATTTTTTGTTTTGTAAAGACAGTTTTTGCTATTTTTTCTTTTGTATAGAAAGTTTTTGCCCTTTTTTTGTTTTGTTAAGAAAGTCTTTGCCAACCTGCCATTTCAAAATCGACTTTCAGGTGAAATCGCCTTGTTGTTAGACCGACCTCGTGCCGCCACCGTAGTAGCCGAAACTCCGTTGAAATGCGTGAAGCTGGACCGAAACCGCTTCGAACGTGTGATGGGCCCAGTGCGTGAGATTCTGAAACGCGACGTCTCCAACTACAACTCATACGTGAAGCTGATGACCTAAGCCACATTACTTTACACTCTTCTCAAAGTCAACATTATATATTTTATATTATACATACAGTTTTATGTCATGGTAAACATGAGTTTGCCGTTTTTAGCGCTAGATATCTTTATTACATTACACTGGATATGATTGTTTAGATGATATTCAGTCCTTTTTAGTACTAGTTGTCCTAGTCGTCTATTAAACTTGCGGTATACTACTGGAATGTTTTCGTTGCTACTATATTGTTTTTAAAGAGATACAGAAAAAAAGTACAGTAAAGTAAATGCCATGTTGCAGTAGTTTAAAGTAAGTTTTCACTCTGAATTATTTTAATAATTTCTATTAGTTATAGAGAACATTGTACTTGAACCAAGTAGTCAGACATAGGATAATATACATTAACCAACTACTTTCTAATATATTTTACAGTAATCCACGTCTTACTGTAGGTTTTTATTATCTAAATCAAGGACTTTAAAGTTTTATTTCTTGCTTGGTTTTTCCTACAGTAATCTGTGTTATGTTTACTGTAACTTTTTGCTTCTCACAGTAAGTTTCCTTCATTACAATCTTCTCTATATTATTTTACGTTACTCTGACGTTACTGTCAGCTAACTGACATCTTACTTTGTAACTTTAAACTGTAATTCTTTGATATTGTAAAGTTTTGTTGTAGTAACGTTATAATTTAGTCGTCAAGATTTTAAGCAAAGTACGGTAAGCTTAACTAAAATACGGTAAGCTTAACTACAGTAATCCCTTAAAACAAAACAATTTCTTCTAAGGTAACATTTAACTTCTACTTTGATTATTCTGTATCATAATTGTCTTTGTGTCACAAGATACCACTGTCTTCAGTAAATTACTATGTACTCTACAGTAAGATATGGTATGGTGTTTGGTAGTGTACAGTATCATTTTGAGGTACTTGTAGTATTTTCAATATTGTATACAGTACTATAGATACTCTTTACGGTATCTTTTAGTATCCTAATCTATGGTACTCTTTAATACAAGCTACCGTAGCTTATGATACTTTTTACTACAAAGCTACCGTACCATCTTATACCATATTGTCTTCAGTAAGTATTCTCTTTTTACTCCGCCGCATACTAAACCTTTCTTTTTTGCCAGTTTGGTACTATTTCAGCGGTACTATTACCAACGCTTTGCTGTCATTCTCTCTCTCTCCGGTTTTAGTCATCATTACTTTATTTTAGTCAACACACACGAGATAGGTGTAATTACAACTTTTTTTGCCTGTTTTGTAACGTTTTTGTATTAAAATACGAACTTGAATTCGGAATTTTCGTTTTCCGAACATTTTTTTTTGTTTTTTTTAAGAACGTCTGTCGATTTCTGTAATAAATATATAAACTTTTACATAAAATAAATTCTCAATTTGGATGCGTTGATACTGTAGTGAGTAAAGGTGGGGGGAGGGGGGGGAGGGGCTTTTGCAAAACTCCTGGAACTCCCGAGAATTGTTTCTTTTTTCAACTTTAAGCACTAAACTATCTTCAAAATAGTATATATTGGAACCTTTACTCAGCTTTTTGATTAAGCATTACATTGCATTGTAGTTACTGTTGTGAGTAAAAAGAGGGGGGGGGGCTTTCGCAAGAAACAATTCTGAGCAGTTCCAAGAGTTTTGCAAAAGCCCCCCCCCCCTTTACTCACTACAGTGGCTCCAGAACAATGTTATGGTTAATTAAAAAGTTGAGTAAAGCTTCCAATATATACTATTTTGAAGATAGTTTAGTGCTTAATGCTGAAAAAAGAAACAATTCTTATAAAAGATACAATCTACAACGAAACACGTGCATTCGTATAGTAAAATGCAGAAGTATATAACTTTTTGCAGTTATCTACATAAAGCAACCAATTTTAAAAAAATTTTGAAAAATAAAAAATCATTTCAAAATTAAATAAAGATCAAGCGGCAAAATTACATTTTTGAAAATCACAATTACTGAGCCAACTAGTAAAAGAGCGGTCGGCCATTTATTTCTGAAGCTTATTTGTTTTGATTGTTACACCATGGCGAAGAAAAGGTAAGTTTAAATTTGAGAAAAATATTGAAATTTAAGAGAGACTTTCTGAGACTGTGAAGCACCCTGTAACAGGCATGTGCACTAGAAATTTACCCCCTGTTTTTATTTGTAGCTAAATCGGTGAGATAGGTTGTTTTAAGACATATGGTGAAGCGGTTTTGGCCAAAATGCCGTTTTGGCACTTTTATGCCATTTTTTGTTAAAGTAAACAAAAAATTTTTTAAAAAATTTAAAAATGTACCGATAGCTTTGCAAATTTGTATACTTACGTTTTTCACTACGCTGAACAGCTTTGTAATCAAAAAGTTTTTTCTAAAAGTACGCCAATTTTGGGTGTTTACGGTGGAAATTTTTGGATAGTATGCTACCGTAAGCGCATGCCTGTTACAGGGTGCTTCACGGTCTCAGAAAGTCTTTTAAATTTTAATATTTTTTTTAAATTTAAGTGATGATAAACGAAGAAAGCAACAGAAAAAGGAAGAGGAGATGATGAAGGAAAAACGCAAAACACAAGGTAAGACGCTTTTAAGCTTAGTCTAAGCCTACTAAGGCTAAGCCTACTACGCCTAAGCCTTAAAAAAAAATTGTTTTCAGTGAAGTCAGAGATGATGGCAGAAGCGTAGCAATTGAAACGTGCTCAATCGGTTGTCAAATATCAGTTGAAACTGAAGGCTTAAAACAACCAAAGTGGGGTTGACGTTGGTACAGCGATCAACTGCGAAATTAAGAACTCGCACAGAGTGAGTCACTATTTTTCGTTTTTTTTTGTGCAAATTTTTGCATTTTAAAGTCGCGTTTTAAGGTCGTTATGAGTTTTCAAAAATCAGCATTTTCACCGAAATTACAGATATTTTTGGTTGGAAATTGTTTTTTTTTTATTTTAGTAGGCTTAGTAGGCTTAGGCTTAGTAGGCTTAGGCCTAATAGGCTTGAATTAGTGCATGTAAAGTGTCGTTAAATTTACTATTATTTTCAGCACACTAAGAAGCAGTGATTGTACCAAGAAAGAGCACTTGATCTCATCCTGTCCGCCGTGAACACATTTTGTTTATACCAATTTTTTTCATACCAATTAACTGAAATAAAGAAGTTTTTTTGAAAAATTTGGTTTACGAGGGAGCCCAGAATCATGTGAACGTATGTTTTTAAAGTCGCACTTTATGGTCGTTATGAGATTTCAAATATCAGCGTTTTCACCGAAATTACAGATATTTTTGGTTGAAAATTGGTGTTTTTTTGAAATTTTAGTAGGCTTATGCTTACAAGGAAAGTACCCAACCTGCAACTCTTAGAATTAGCTAAACATTTTTATACGGTTTTTCTGTAGCACCATTACCACACATAAAAAATCTTAGCTTTGGAAGCTTTTCTATCATTATATTTAAGAAAAATAATTAAAAGTCAAAAAATGACAAAGTTAAAAACTTGCAACACTATGCCAAGTTGGCGGGAAATTCAAAACGCAATTTTTTTATCTCGATTTTCTCAAGAGTGGCCGCAAACCGCAACTTAGAATTTTACATAAGGTCTTACATTTACATGCTCTTTCAATAGAAAGGCTTAGGCTTAGTAAGCTTAGGATTAGTAGGCTTAAGCTTAGTAAACTTAGGCTTAGTAGGCTTAGGCTTAGTAAGCTTAGGCTTAATAGGCTTAGGCTTAGTAGGCTTAGGCTTAGTAGGCTTAATCTTTCAGTTAATTGGTATGAAAAAATTGGTATAAACAAAATGTGTTCACGGCGGACAGGATGAGATCAAGTGCTCTTTCTTGGTACAATCACTGCTTCTTAGTGTGCTGAAAATAATAGTAAATTTAACGACACTTTACATGCACTAATTCAAGCCTATTAGGCCTAAGCCTACTAAGCCTAAGCCTACTAAAATAAAAAAAAAATTTCCAACCAAAAATATCTGTATTTCGGTGAAAATGCTGATTTTTAAAAACTCATAACGACCTTAAAGCGCGACTTTAAAATGCAAAGATTTGCACAAAAAAACGAAAAATAGTGACTCACTCTGTGCGAGTTCTTAATTTCGACGGAAAAAAGAGATAGTGACTCACTTTGTGCTTGTTTTGAACTTTATTGGTAGCGGTGCCCATTTGTACCCCACTTTGGTTAGACATAGATTTAAGCTTTAACTGATGCTTTACAACCGATTCAGCACGCTTGAGTTGGTCAGCATTCAACATCATTTTAGGTCGACCTGAAAACAAGTTTTTTTAAGGCTTAGGATTAGTAGGCTTAGTAGGCTTAGGCTTAGTAGGCTTAGGCTTAGTAGGCTTAGGCTTAGTAGGCTTAGACTTAGTAGGCTTAGACTTAGTAGGCTTAGGCTTAGTAGGCTTAGGCTTAGTAGGCTTAGGCTTAGTAGGCTTAGGTTTAGTAGGCTTAGGCTTAGTAGGTTTAGGCTTAGTAGGAATAGGCTTAGTAAGCTAAACTTAGTAGGCTCAAACTTAGTAGGCTTAGGCTAACCTTAAAAGCGTCTTACCTTGAGTCTTCCTTCTTTCATTCATCATCTCCTGCTCCTTCTTCAATTGCTCCTTCTTCAGTTTGTCACTTAAATTTGAGAAAAATATTAAAATTAAAAGGTAGCATACTATTCAAAAATTTCAACCGAAAACACCCAAAATTGGTAGACTTAAAGAAGACCTTATAGCCTATCAATATCTACGTTTCATGTAGATTCTAAATATATTAAAATTGACTGTGAGGACCCGTGTTAATTTTTTAGATATTTGCACTTTTATAAACGATTGGTCGGGTTATGGTAGGTTACGGTACTTTTAGAAAATACGTTTTGATTACAAAGCTGTTCAGCGTAGTGAAAAACGTAAGTATACAAATTTGCAAAGCTATCGGTACATTTTTAAATTTTTTAAAAAATTTTTTGTTTACTTTAACAAAAAATGGCATAAAAGTGCCAAAACGGCATTTTGGCCAAAACCGCTTCACCATATGTCTTAAAACAACCTATCTCACCGATTTAGCTACAAATAAAAACAGGGGGTAAATTTCTAGTGCACATGCCTGTTACAGGGTGCTTCACAGTCTCAGAAAGTCTCTCTTAAATTTCAATATTTTTCTCAAATTTAAACTTACCTTTTCTTCGCCATGGTGTAACAATCAAAACAAATAAGCTTCAGAAATAAATGGCCGACCGCTCTTTTACTAGTTGGCTCAGTAATTGTGATTTTCAAAAATGTAATTTTGCCGCTTGATCTTTATTTAATTTTGAAATGATTTTTTATTTTTCAAAATTTTTTTAAAATTGGTTGCTTTATGTAGATAACTGCAAAAAGTTATACTTCTGCATTTTACTATACGAATGCACGTGTTTCGTTGTAGATTGTATCTTTTAAGTACCATTACTTTTAAGTATTATTTCAGGTATTACACCGTTTATATATCTAAGCTTCAACAAGGCCATCAGGCATACTGTAATATCCAAAATACTGTGATTTAAAGGCCCTACAATCACTATTATACCTGTTACTCCTAAGGTGCACTTATTCCACAAAATAAACAATAGTGTTGCCTCAAAGATCCGCGTATCTTAACCGTGCTCCATATAATTTAATGTATTCACAGAGCCACAGTAATCTTTACTGCCCTAAACTTCCAATTACAAATATCTACATGCATATTACTTTAAAACATTATTTTATAACTAAAAGTTTTAAGTTTTTCAACATGACTTAGTAATTGTAAAATATTGATTTATTGTTTAGTTTACCCGCTGTTGTATAAAAGTACACATAACAATATAAGTTGTGGTGTTACAGTATGTAACGTAATAAAATAATTAAAGAGCGATTGCAGTTCGTATGATTCGAGGCGTCAGCAAGTATATTAAGTTAGCATACGTTGTCGTATGTTGAGACCATGGAACGCTACGGTAAGAAAAGATAAGAACCTGGAATGTTGACACAGGGTTACTGTAACAAAATGTTTGTACATTACTTTGTTACAGCTTCTGTTATGAAAATGGATATTAAAATAAAGATAATATTTTGATTCGTAGTAGACCGTATTAAACGAGCTTGAAAGTACAGTATAAAATAGAGCGATTTGGTGATAAAGTACATGTAGATAGACAGTGACTATGCTACACGCCCTCGTAGATTACCGTTAGGCTTTCTAGGAGAGACAGAAGCCCTCGGCACCTTCTCAATGGAGCCGGCTGTCATCAAGTTCTGATAGTGTGGAGCCAACGTGGGCGGTTGTGTCGTTTCTTCTGGAGACGAGTCCGATCCCATTCTAATATCTTATTCAATGTACGAATTTTAAATTAGACCATTAAGACGATCCCTTCTACTGTACGATAAAAGTTGATGAGCAGAATGACGAAGATACGATGGAATCTGTTGGCAATCGTATATCGGGTTAGACGATGAATTGGTACGGTTGAAGCGAGGGGCGGTGATGTTGTACATCTAAAGTTATGGCATATTTGAAAAGGCTTCAACTTAAAAATGGATATAGCTACAGTAAACATTACAAAAAGTTACAGTAATGATTAAAAAGAGGTTTTGATGGCTATTGCCACGATATACCAATAAGTACAACTTACACCCTTCCTCAGCGCTCCACTCTGCTTTACAGATGCAAAATCTTCAGCAATTGACACGTGATCGCTGCTTCTTCGTACGATACGAGCATTCAGAGAGTTGTGAGCCACGTTACCGTACTTTCCAACTAAATTCGATTCTCTGAGTCTATCGTGTACACTGACAGCACCTTCATTTAGTCTCGAAATCTGGAATCCGTAAGCATTCTGACTTCAAACTCAATTAGTTCTGCCGTTCGTCGAACTCCAACTTGCTTGCTGTAGCTGGAGTTGTAATTCGTTTACCTGAAATTCGTTTTGATAGTTTTGTCAAAAACATCCACTTTTTACTGTACAATATGACAATATACAATACAGATACATTTATTTTGTTGACATAGTAAAACCCACAGAAACTCCTCCCTTGGTCTGTGAAAATGCTGATTTCTGAGCCTCGATACGAGACAGAAACACTTCAATTGGTAACATTACCTCTTGAAGAAGACGAGCTGTTGCTCGAGTTCGTACCGTTAGTCACATTCATCGTGCTCTTCTGACTGAATCTGCCGTTAACACTCATACTGTCGATTTGACGTTTAGGGAGCCAGACGAATTCTTTTGAGGTATTCTCCCCTTCCCCAACTTTCTCACTGACCAAACAGCCGTTCGAAGATAGTCTAGCCAACAATGGCATCAACAGCTTCTCGTAGCCATTATGGAATTCACGGAAGTGTCCAGTAATGACATAGTAGAAGCCTACAGTAAGGATGAGCAGAAGGAGAACGACCAGAAGAGGCTGAAGACCCATCGAGGAAGCTGAATTGTCAGGTCGGTGATTGGTAACGTTCATTTCTGAAAAAGGTATTGGTATACAAAGCCATGACAATAACTCGAAGTTTTGTATAATGTCAATGATGTCCTTGGCAACACTAAAAATGTAATTATCAGTACTTACGCATCTTCTCTGCACTATCAACAAAGATATGTTGTGTCTTCAACACCGCTGACTCAGTATCCAGCGGTGTCATACCTGACAAGGAAGGTAGATCTGGATCATCACATACTTTTGGAGCTCTCATCTCCACAGTCAGCTTGATGTCAAATTTGTCATCCAGAAGTACGAGTTCAACGTTAGGAGTACCACGTTGTTGTCCTATCTTCAAGGTATTCTTATTTGTTGTGTAGATAGAGAGTGAGTAGAAGTTGGTATCCACATCAGACAGCAGCTCTTTCTGACCGCCAGAGTAGAAGATGAAGATCTCTAGTGTAGCATGCTGGAACTTCTGAGCCAGCAATTCATTAGTTCTGGCTACCAGCTCAAACTGGAATGGTATTGCTGATTTGGACTGAATCGGAACGATAATAATATATTTTTTCTGCCTTTTAAAATATGTAAATAAAAATGGTTCCTGACAATTAAAACCAACATCTAACCTATAACAACAAAATTACTACCTGCTTCTTTTTGTCATTCCCAGCTTTAACCTGGAACCATGAAAAAGGTACCACTTGTCGTATCAGACAAGAATGCTTGTTCGGATGTTTTTCATAGAACATACAAGAACCAGCTACAGAAGCACCAGTCTGATTTGTCAGTTGTACTTTAACACATAGTCGATGTTTGAAAAGGCTGGTCCAAACAGAATCCCCAAGTACTACAATGACCACGAATGGTCGGTCCTAAAAAATAGAATACAATTCCAAAAATTTAAAGTAAGCTAAAGCAAATCAAAGTCTTACCAAGTAGATCTTCTCATTAGCCAGCTTCACATTCAATGGTCAAGACATGACACCAGAAGTGTACCACAAATGATTTTCGCAATTCCGACCGCTCAATTTCAACCAATTTTTACAATAAAATAAAATTTCACACTTCGCATCGTTTTTTACAGGAAATGTCACTATCTTTATTTCCTCTCTTGGCATGTAGGGGTGAGAAAAGTGCCGGGCCCACTTTTTAGGCCCGGCCCAGGCCCGGGGTCCAATGTTTAGGCCCGGCCCGTTATTATTTTTTTCTCAGGTTGGCCCGGCCCAGTCAGAAAATTTCTAGTCCCGGCCCGGCCCGTTTTAAAAAACTTTAAAAATTTTAAACTTCAAAAAATAAACGGAAATTTGGCTTTAAATTGTTTTTTCAGATCATTTATGGATCATAGTACCCAATAAAATCAAAAAACATCAACGAGGATTGGACTAAAAAATTTTTGAAAATTAAAAAGATTTTTTTTCGGGCCCGGGCCCACTTTTTAGGCCCGGCCCAGGCCCGGGGCCCAATGGTTGGACCCGGCCCGTTTCAATTTTAACTCAAGGCCGGCCCGTTTCTCACCCCTATTGGCATGACACGTATTCCCCTTATACATAAATGACTTTTCTGTATAAAAAGTACGAAATCAATCAAATCAGGATAGGTAGGGCACTTTCCTTATCAAGTTTTTCAAACTTTATTCGAAATATTTAGGAAAAGAAGCATGAATCTTTTGGTATAACTTAAAACATAAGTTATGCCAAAAGGTTTTATCAAGATCTTGCTATTTATATCAGTGGAAAGACGTTTAAAGTTGTCTCCTTTGATAACCTTGACCTGCGATACGCAAAAAAGCGACAAGAAAGGCAAATCATAAGTATCGTTGATTGTGAACGAAACGTTTTCGGTCTTTTACTGTTACAACTATAAGCAACTTTACATTTTCTACTTGAACTTGTGTGTTTTGAGCTTCATATTTACTAAAAGTAACAAGTTCTACTACAATATACTTTCTACTACTATAATTACTATAATATAAGTTTTTTGGCTTTATTATCTTAACAGCATCCATAGCCTGTTATCAAGTACAATTTATTAAAAAGATAACTTTATTATCAATACTTTCTGATAATCTTTTGACATTTTAAAACTATGACCGAGCCAAAAAGACTATTAGTAACAGGTGGTTGTGGCTTTATTGGTGCTAATTATGTAAATTTTGCCTTTAATTACTGGCCAAACGCTTTCATTGTCAATTTGGACAAACTTATCCTGAATAGTGATATCAACTATGTAGCTGAAAATGTCCGCAATTCCGACCGGTACAAGCTGGTTCTGGCTGATATTTGTAACAAAGCTGTGGTTAAGGACGTCTTGGAGACTTATAATGTAAGTTATTAGATTTTTACGTCGAATACTGTTAAAAATGTGGCATTATAAGTAGACCTATGAAAGAGCTGGGCCAGATCTAACTTTTTGGTCTAGTCTGGACCATTTTTTTTTACGTCTTATCAACAAAAACCCTAAAATTAAAAATTTTTAAAATCAAGACACTTTACCATAAATTAAGCGTTTCCTTTAAAGATTGACACAATCATCCACTTCGCAGCCGACTGCACCTCAACCCGCTGCTACAATGACCCATGTGAAGCCCTTGAAAACAATGTCTTCTCATACATCAACTTCCTTGAAGCTGTGAAAGAATACAACAAGTTGACCAAGCTTATCCACATCTCGACTGATGAAGTTTATGGAGATTCTGAATTGACTGACGAAGAAACTGGTAAAACTGAAGAAGAACCAATGAAGCCAGGTAATCCCTATGCTGCTACAAAGATCGCTGCTGAACACTATGCCAACTTGTATCGTCAGAGCTACAGACTTCCGATTACTATCTTGAGGATCAACAATATTTATGGTCCTAATCAGTGGGATGTTAAGGTAAGATTAGCAATATTGTATGTACTGCTGAAAGTTTTAAAAAATTTTTTGGGTTAATGAGTACAGAATTATGTGAGCAAACTAATACTAATTTTGTAAGCTTATCAAGCAAATGTTATAGCTTGTACCACGTTTCATCGATGTAGCTCGCAACTGCCAAAAGTTCACTGTTCAAGGTACTGGAAAGCAGTTAAGGTCTTGGTTGTACGTCGACGACGCTGCCAGAGGCATTTGTTTAGCAGCTGTAAAAGGAAAGCTTGGAGAGGTTTACAATCTGGGAACGTACTATGAAAAAAACGGTAAATTATTTTAAAAAATGAACTTTTAATTTAGTTCTTATCAACAGGTATCAGACTACCACAACCCACTTTTCTTGTATAGGGCCTTAGTACTCTTAAAACAGATAATGCGGTATTCTTTCTTTTGTTTTCTAAACTTTAAGCTTAATTTTAAAATTTTAAATTATGACATGTAGGTATAGGTATAGGGCTTGTATAACTTTTATTATTTTAGTATTGGAACTTGCCCACTGTGTTCAAGCTGAAGTTGATAAACAATTAGGACGTGAGCCTCGACCAGTCGAATTTATTTCTATCCCTGACAGACCTTACAACGATCTGCGTTACCTTATTGACATTTCCAAGGCCAAGAGAGAACTAGACTGGGAGCCAGTTTTTCCGTTTGATGAGGGTAGGCTGTTATCATCATGATGAGTCTCAAAAAAAAAGAAATTATTACGTATTTTACGTTAATATTGCTCTTTTTGTATAAGGTCTGATTTAAAATAAAGCTTTTAGTTAATAAAAAGTAATAAGTATGGTTTTAGGTCTCCGCCGAGTAGTCGAATCCGCCTTGAAGCCTCATTTGCCACAGAAGATGTATGTCATCATTTATGGAGGCAATGGCTGGGTAGGACAACAAATCCAGGCTGAGCTACAAAAGCGACAGATCCCGTTTGCTTTGGCTGATGCTAGAGTTGGTAGGGTTACTGATCAAGAGGTAGGCTTGCCTTTTTATCGCAAATTTTTTTCTTTTACATTATCCCCTCTCTGGCAAAAAAAATAATTTTTTACCCTTTCCATTCCACAGGGAGGAAAGAATCATCTGCCTTGTTTTGATAACAATTATAAGGCCAAGATAATATAAGCGCCATAGTATAACATAACCAACCGATAAAATCTTTTAAGGTAGAACAAGAACTCTTAAAACTCCGTGGTACTCATGTTCTGAATGTGACTGGTCGTACTCATGGTGGAGGAGACAAGACTATTGGATATTTGGAAGGTGGACCAGAAAAGACAAATGAAAACGTACGAGACAATCTTTACTGTCCAGTAAAGTTGGCACAAATTGCTAGAAAACTTGGTTATCACTACACTTACGTAGGTACTGGGTACTTGTTTGCCTATGATCAGGAACATCCAATTGGTGGAAAGGCTTTTGGTGAAGAAGGTGAGGCTTTTCAGAGACTTAAAGACTTTACACTATATATTATATGTTGTTCAAATAATTCTGTGCCACTGACCCCAAAAATTGTTTTTAAAAGTAGGCACAGAATTATTTGAATAACCTAATAATATGTACCTTTTCACTAATGTGTAATAAAATTTACTTTCAGATGTCCCAACCTTCTTCGGCAACTCATATTCTGTGGTCAAAGGCTACACTGACAGAATGATCAACTCATTTTACTGGCCTGAACTGATCAACGCCAGAATTACCTTGCCAATCAACTTTGAACTCAACGATGACAGAAACTTGTTGAGCAAGATTTTAACTTACAAGTAAGTAACTTATCTTTTATTATTAACTGGGAGTAAGTAAACCAGGCCCTTCCTTCACAGGTCGATAACCTTTAAGCTGCTAAAGCTAAAACCAGGCCAATAAAAACGTTTTATACACAAAAATAGTGTAAAGAGTTAATGAGTTTACTAAACCTAATGATAATGTAAAATACGAAAAGGCAAATTAGTGTTTTAGACAAATCTTTGATGTACCAGTATCAATCACCATCCTTCCTGATTGTATCCCGATTCTGTTGGACTTGATGGAACAAAGACACTCAGGACCATTAAACTTGGTCAATCCTGAACCCATCAGCTTGCATCAGATACTACAGTTGTACAAAAAGGTATTTTTTAGCTATATTTAGTAGCGGCGGGGTAATTTTGTTTTCACTTTAGACAAAAGAAAGTTTAAAAAATTTTAAAATGATTTTTTGCTATTTTTTTTATTTTTTGTTTTTCCTGAGGCAACTCAAAAGTAAACTTGAAGCATAACCAAACTAATAAACTCATAAACAATCATTCTCTTCAGCACGTTGACCCCTCCCTTCCCGAATATTCGGTGGTTGGAGTCGATTCTCCAAAAGGACAAGAACTCATGGCTACAAAAGGAAACTGTGCTTTGGATACGTCCAAGTTGGAAAAGGTATCTAAAATCAAGCCCTCATCCGAATCTCTCATTCAACATTTTCAAAAACTGAAGGAAATACAGGAACGCGGTCAAGCATAAGTAAAATAATATCGTTTTACGATTATATTATAAGTTAATATACATAAATTTATATACATAAATTTAAATAAAGGTTTTGTTAGATTAAAATATGATAGAGACTTGCACTGGTGGCTAAAAAGGGCTGCGATCTCTAGAGTTTGATAATTTTTGAAAAAATAGGAAAGAAAAACTTGACATATCGAAAAATGTGCCATGTTTTTCTTTCGCTTTTAAAAAATGTTTAAAACGGACTTTATTTGTTTGTTTTATTTTTTAAATAAATTATAAAAAAATTACAGAAAATTCCAAACTTGACTTACTTTTTAACATTGTCATTTATCTTCTTTGTATTCTAGATTCATCATGCAATAAAGATGATAACTGCTTATAATGCTGCACTAGAGCCTTAATATCTTAATTATAGCTGTACTCAGCGTCATATTTTATTATTTTTTAAGTATTATGCCTAGACTTGGAAGGAAGCCATCCGCTTGGCTTACGCCGTGCTGCGTTGGGTCGAAGTAAATTGAAAAAAATCGACCGAGCCAAAATATGTGGGCTTTTTTTGAGCCGAGCCTAAACCGGGCGCTTGAGGGAGGTCAGGCCGGCACGTGTGGGCTTGAAAGCCGGGTCATAAACGAAGGCCCTGCTCTTTTAAACTCCTGTATTTGATCACTTTTAGTTTAGCACAACGCCATCGATTTAGTTTTATATTAATTTATTCATGAGAAAGGAGCACAACTTCTCAAATGTCAGAGAACTTGTAAACGAAACAACTCAAATTCACAACGCGGCTTTACACGGTTCTGCAAAGCCCATAGACCAAAAACGAAATTGCACTAAATACACATACAAAATACGATATGTCATGAGAAGGTATTTACAAATGTTGTTATAGATAAAGGCTACAATTTAGGTATATATTAGATTTTTCAGGTAATCCTGTGCCCTTTGATCTTAAAATTTTCTTTTGAGAGGGGGCCCATAATTACTTGAACAAACTTATAATTATATAATAAATTGATACAGCGAATAAAAAATTTTAGGCACTACTTATAGGTATAGGAATAGGTATTACTATAGGTGTATTAATGTATATTAATAAGTTTAAGACACGTAGGTTATGGTACGATAGAGATAACATAAATATAGACGCAGTGTTCAAAATATTATGATATTATAGTAGTATTATGATATGATGTTTAAGTAGGACCTGTTATAGACGAGATATTTAAGTGTGAGGAGAACTTTTAATGTAAAATACGCATTCTTTTTTGCCTAGTGCTAAATTTAAAGTAAGTTTTAAGTTGTGGCGTAGTAAAAAAAGTTAAAGTATTATTAAAAACATATTTAGTATGAAAAATCGGCGTATTTTACCTTACAAATGTTTAGTTTTCTTTGGATAATAGTTTTAGCAATCTACCATAACCTTACTATTAAAATACAGCCTTAGTATCTTAATAATAATTACTTATGGCATGACAAGACCTAGTATAATATTCGCAATTACGCCAAGTTGTTATGGTTCCATTGACCTGACTTGGAATCGAATTCTTGTGTATTTTTGTTGGCAGTGTTCGTCTGGTTGCCTTGATTACCACGGTAATTGTCGGGCATGTAGCAAAGACCATCGTGACACGCTGGGGCTTCTGGCGGACATTGGGAACAACGTTCCTTCTCGTTGTAGGCCCAGGTGAAGGCGGGAGCCTGAAATGGCTAAACTTGGGCGTGATGAAGTGTAAAGAGTTATTGAACACACTGTTGTTAGGGTTGAGTTATGTCACACGAGACATTTTAGTATTGGGTTAATACTGTGCCTATTTTAAAGCAAATTTTTGAGATTAAGAGGCACAGCATTATTTGAACAACCTAATAGTTAATCTTTTTATTAGGTTGAACCAAAATTAGCGGACCACTTTTAAGTTAAAAACTAAAAGAAAAGTGTCCCGTTACTTTTGGTTCATTTATAGTTAGCGAAAAACTCGGTTATTAAATTTTAAAATGTAATGAGTAAACTCTTTCCAAAACTAAGGTTGATCAGCCTTAAAAATAGGGTATGACCAGACCGATTTCAACCTGTTAAAAAGGCTAATTTCAATCTGCAAGATTTTCGGACAGCAATAACTTTTAGCATAATAGCGCCAGGCGCACCGCAAACCAGGAGTAGAAGGGGTGAGGAATATTAAGTCAATTTCAACTGTCGGTTTCTTGGTGTTTCGATAGAGAGTAGACTTTTGTTATAAGAATAGGTATATAAAGAGGTATTAGTTTTAAGATAAAGAAGCGTTTAGTTGTTAGTAATCACTGCACTCTGCATAAAGCGCCTAGCCGTTAGTATGTTAAGTTTTCTTGTTTTTTCTCTAGTTTTTTAATCTTTTATAAAGTATCTTATTTCGAAATTAAGGTAAATTTGTCTTACTAGTCTTACTAATGTTCTCAATCAAAAACTATTGTTAGAAGACAACCTTTTGTCTTTAGCTACTCAAGATGTGTTAGGTTGTGATGGTACTATTAAAGCTTTTCTAAACTATATGTACTATGTACTTTTTCTAACGTACGATACAGTACAATGTAATCTTTCGTTTTGGCTTATATCTACTTTGCTAAACTTGATTTTTCTATTTTAAAAAATTTTTTGTTATAGAGCAACTACTGACCGCAATAAGCTGTCCGTATCCATTAATGAATACCGTGTTTCCTTGTGGGTTGTAATGGCAGACGAAGACGTTGCTGTGGCCACGGCCGAGCACACCCCACACGTCGCGACATCTGGCGTATCCGCATCCAACCAACGTGGTTCTGGCCCATACGATCTGAAATCGTAAGGAATGATATTTTTTACTTGTAGCGTGGGTTTTAAGATTTTTTTCGAAATTTTAAAAGTTTTTTGATTTTATGCTTTTCTTTGTACTGATGGTGCAGTACATATTGGTCTTCTACATCTACATTTCTCTCCTCTACATTTACACTTTTCTCTTCTTTATCTACACATCTCCCTTCTACATCTACACTTCTCTCCCGTACACCGACCATCTGTCTTCGAAATGTAAGCCCATTTCTCAAGGTTCTGCTTCAAGGTCGCAGAATTAAGGACAAAAGAACGGTTGACAACACTTTACAACGGAAGTTGTTGCTTTTTGTCGTTAATTTTCTTTACTTTTGCAAGGAGATGGACAGAACCGGTTCAATGTGTCTGGAAGGTCCGAAAGAAATGACAGATTGGCCTATGTTATTGGGGGTTTAGGGAAATAAAAGCCTAATAATGAGGTGACAAATGACCGGTTGTTTATGGTTGATCTATGCTTTACAGACTATTAGTTCAGGAATTGCTGCAAAATTTGAGAAAGTTGTAAAAAAGAACGGCACAAGTCACAAAGATGCTTCAACGAAATTGATTTATTTTCAAAAAATGTTTTACAGTAGTAAGCATGGTTAATCGTACTTACAGTGGTTTTGCTAAAACTATATTACTAACATAGCGTTCCTTGAGGCATATTACAGTAAATATTAAGCAAACTACAGTAAATTTGCCTAATTTACCGTACAATCATTTTGCTAATCCAACCCAGCTTCTTTTACCGTTCTCCCAAGTACACTGTACTTTTAATGCGCGATTTAATGTAAAGTATCTGATCTAATTGCCCGCCTTACTTCCGTTTCATCAACGGGATTCGCCGACGAAGGACACTCGCCGGAAAAGGGAAACGGTGCGGTCAACAAAAAAAAACGGTCGAAAAAAGATGCAAACGACCGTCGACGATATACGATTTCCGGTGATTTCACACGGTTCTTGGAAGATAAACTTTGGATAATATGATTTATGAGTCGGCGTTGATTTTTAAAAATATTTTGGTTTTTAAAAGTCATAGGCTTGCACTTTAAAAGTATGCCATCTAAGAAAAGTGCATAATAATTCGAAAAAACCTACCTGAATGTAATGTCCACAACAATGCTTGTAACCTTGAGAACATCCACAACGAGGGTTGTTGACCTCATCGAACCATCTCAACACAGCATCAGAGTAGTTCGAGTACGGAGCGGCCCAGATGTTCTCACCAACATTGACACGATCTCTGGAGTGACGGAAGTCGCATCGGTCAGCGTGACGTTGAGCAGAAGCCGCCAGCTCCTCACTCCAGTACATCATTCGCATATCAGTAGCCGGCACCATTCTACGGTACCTATTGTGCTCTCCAGTCAACCATCCTTTGATGTATGGGTTTGGTGGCTCTCCGGACACCAACATGTTTGGCCATCCGTTGTTGTAGTTGTTGTTGTTGTTGAAGTTGTTGTAGCCGAATCCGTACATGACATTTCGTTTGACTCGTTGTTCTTCGCTTAAGGGTTCGTCGTGGAACTGTTCGTGGCCATAGAGGGCGTTGGTTGGGCCAGAATGTGAGATGATGGCTTCGGAGTCTTTGGAGTTTAGTGTGAAGCCGTTTGTGTAATATAGGGTTGTGAGGAAGCATAATGAGATTAACTGTAGTTTTGACATTTTGAAGTTCGGGGAGACCGCAAGTAAATTGGCAATTGTGCTGAAATTTATAAATTAAGCATTTTAAAGGTCGAAATAGAAGAAGTGATATAACATACACGAATGAACAATACGTCTTTAGTTTTTAAATACCTTCTAATATTTTTAAAAATAAACCTAATTTTATGCCCTAAATGCCAATTACAGTAAAACCTTGAGTAACAACAAAAAACAAAACAATAACTTTTTCAATCTCGACCCAACCCAATGTCTGTTTTGCGACAAGTTGCGACTCTACCTAACCACTTATTAAAAATAACTGTGAATTGGGAACGGTGTAAACAATGACCAAAAATCGCCGTTCCCTTCATCTCAATCGACGGAAATGCGCAAAAATGGGTTGGAAAATTGACTTTTTTTTACATTTCTCGAGGTCAGACTCTGTGAAGAATTAATGTAGTACTCCAGGGAGAAACATTGTTTAGACGACAAATCGGATTTTAGGTTGGGAGGGAAAGAGGGAGAGTATAAAAAATTGTAAAATACGGTCTTTTTAACTGGTCTTATTAACTTAATGAAAACACTACTGCTACGGTAGTATAATGAAGTAGACAACAATATATTAGCAGTAAAAATCAAAACATTAATACAATCTTATCAAAAAATAATGTTAATATCAAGGATAATATACCAAACTTCTAAACAATAAAAAATTTAAAAAGATTTACCGTACCCCCTATCAACTACCGTAACTCAATTAACAAACTGATAATTATTAAATAAACATTAGGAAAAACAACAAGAGTTTTATGTTGTTTTAAATACTTTTAAAGGCCGAAGACCCCTCCTCCGAACGTTTTTTTATTACGTGGAGTAAAGTTGCAGTAAGTGTAATAATCATCAATTTTATAAAAAATGCAAAACTTTGGAAGAAGCGTTAATTACAGTAGCAAATTTGAAGGCTAGGGATCAGTGATTGAACTAGAGTGAAGCTTCTGTATAACGAAAATTTAGTATAACAAAAGGATTTAAAATTTTCGAGCGATTTGTTATACAAAAGTCTTACTGTATAAGGAAAAAGGATATCGTAGTTTCAAGTTTAAGGCTTTGGCTCGCACTTTTAAAATGAATTAGCTTTAATTAAAACTGTCCGATTTTTGACGCTTTTTGAAGCAGAAAGCCAAGTTTTTGCAATCACGTTTCGTGGCCTTTGAACAATTTAAAAAATTAAAAAAAATTTTTTTTTTAATTTTAAAATTTAAATACCAGTTTTTATTACAGTACATCCAACAGCATCAAAAAGTATAAAAATCTCAACCTTTAGCCCTAGAACGACGGTACGTGTAATATTTCATGGGAACGGCCGTTTCGGTAGCCATTGCGGTGCCTGCGGCGACCAATAATCGAAGAAAACAAAAAAACCCTCGAACATTACAATTAAGGGTTTGCAGAACGTTGAACAAACTAACAGAAAAAAGAAACAGCTAGCCGATGGTTCGAAATTCGTTTCCGGTGGAAAGAAACAAACCGTCGGTCGATTAAACGGTCATGGGCGGTTTTGCTATTTCCATTTGGAAAAAGATGTGCCTACGTAAACTTGTCGCTTGTAATGAGAGTTAGGTAATTAGAATTCGAATTATTTGAACATAAGGAAATTGGAATTATGTTAAGGTAGGGTAAAAGTAGTTAGAATTGCAATTATTTATAGTAAGCGGAAAACTTGATTTAATTGATTGTAAACGGGTGTATTGGTTTGAAAAGTGTAATTTGAGTTCAAAATTGTAGCGGAAGTTTTAGAAAAAGTTTTAAAAAACTTACTCTACTTTACCCTTCCTTACTCTTTTTTACCCCAGCTGCCCTACCCGAACAAGAGTTTGTATACAGAAGTTTTACTGTACTATGACTATATCGTAAGCCTTTTTGTCACCATTTTTCAAAAATAAAATTTCAAAAATTTAAAATTTTTATGAAACTTTTCTCCTCCCTCCCTCTGCATCTCCTACTTAAATTTTAAATTTTTACCCTTCACCCCCCCCCCTTCTCCCTCCTTTTCCTACGGAAACTATGTTAAAATTTCGAAAAAAGTAGACAGTGAAAGAGTAATGATTTCCGTCGAAACAAATTTGGGTGTGGTTGATAAACGAAGAGAACCGACTGAACCAAAATGACCTCCAGCAGCCTTAAAAGGTTGCTGCGACTGCCAAAATCTGGAAAAGTAAACAAAAAAGTCGCCGGAAGCTAAATTGTAACAAATGCTTATAAGCTAATGGATTGTTAGTGGAATGACTGATTAGGCTATGGTCTATTTGCAAAACGTTTAAAACGTTAAATTGTGGAATTTTTTGTTACAAATCATAGGGTTTAAAATGGTTTTTTACCGTTTATTTTATGTTAAAAATTAGTTTTTAAAATTTTTAAAAACATTTTAAAAAAATGGCACAAGTGAACAAAAATTTTGAGTTTTGTTATACAAGACTTTATTGAACATGTTCTTTATACAAACGTTTCACAGCAGTACCTCAACAAAGCAAAAAATAGAAAAAAACCAATTTTAAAAGACCATCAATACATAGCTAGCCCTCTACAACCCCATACCAAACTACCCTATAATACAGTACAATATCCACCCCCATATCCAGACAACCAAACCAACCCAGATCAGTCCACAACTTCCCCGTCCGCATCCTTTTATACCCCGCCCGCTTCATCGCTCCCGGTTCTCGGGCGGGGCGGGCACCGGAAGCGTTCTCGCCGAGCTACCGTAGCAGAGTACAACATGTCATAAAATGGCAGACACGCGTATAAGCATGTAAATTGTCATGTCGTACAAGCCGAAAAAAACGGCTGTACTTTCTATTTTCATTACCCCGCCTTCTTCCGGCGGGGGTGTTAGGTTGTGGGGGATACAGCAGCTGATCAGAGATTTGTAGGAGCATGTGCTTTGTGATATAGGTTTTTTTGGATGGTATTGTTATGTGAGGTGTTCAGAATAGACATTCAAGGCTTAAAAAGGTATCAAAATAGATTTTTTGCCTTAAAGCTTGACAATATTATCAATATTACACTGTTAAAAACATATGCTCTAAACGCATTTTTTCTATACTATAACCATGCCAATGTTACATATTACCTCACTGTCACTAAGTCTAAAATACTCTACAGTAACTAATATAACCCTCTTAATCATCCCCTACCTTAAATGCCATTAATCAAGCTGATAAGCCTACAGACGTGCACTGTTCACTTTCACAGATGCCAACGGTAGAATTCAGAAGTTATTGATGACTTCCGACTGAACCGTCTTCAATGATCAAAAATTTGTTTTTTCTCAGAAAACCGTTAAATGCAATAAATTTCGATTGTAGCGAGTGTAAGAAGCGTATCTGAACGGTTGCGACTGATAAGGCATCTTCTTTTTGACCGTGTAGGGTTATGAAGATGTTGAGCATAACAACAGAGACTTGGCATTTTAAAAATTGGCATAAACATTGTTTTTTTTAATTTTAAAAAATTTTTAATTTAAAAAAAATTTTTAATAGTGTCATTATCATACTGTAACTCTACACTCCACACCAAAAAAGTTACACTTGAACCCTTGTGCTGTAAATAATTGTAACGTCCACAAACCCTAGCTTATGATTAATAGCCGTTTTGCACTCTAATCTCTGAGGCCGGGCTTCAGACGCCATTTTTTGTAGCAGAAGCCCAAGGTCATTAATACATCTCCACGCCAATTTTTGATTGGACAAAGTTTAATTCAATCAAAAGTTTGTTCCGTTGCAACATTTTCCATCGGCGCAAAAGTGCTTTTTGCAACGAAAAGGAACGGTGGAGACGGATAAGTGGAACGTCGAATTATGTTAATCTACAGTAAATAGTCTGGGGTGGTGTTTCATCTTCTATAGCCTTTACAAGGAAGAAGGGAGACATTTGTATAACAAATTGCTTGCAAATTTTAAATTTTGTTTGTTATAACGAGATTTGGTATAAAGCAGTTTGTTATACAGGAGCTCCACTGTCTTTTCAGTCAAAAAATCTTTTTTGAAATTTTGAGTCAAAATGCTATAAAAAAGAGTAAAGGTCACTTTGTATTATAGTACCACTAAAAGTTTAAGGTCAAAGAGGTGCAACAGTTTAGTTCAATAAAAACTCATTTTACACAGTTTTTTTACAGCTTTATGTTGTAAAAGCAAAAAAAAGTTGCACAGTAATAAAAAACTGCAATTTTTTCAAATTTTAAATTAAAACAAAAAAAAAGTTTTGATAATACAACATAGTGATCAATTTAGAAGTTATGATCTTTAAATTTATGCTCTTGTATCACTCTCTGCCATTTAAATCATAACACTTGCACTTACCTTACGAGAGTTACTTTGCTTTGCTTGAACTACAAACTGAGAAACTTCTTTTACGATAGGCATTAAACTGAGACCTAAAAGTACAGTATTTTGTGCAACACACAAGTTTTAAAGAAGTTGACTTTAAAATTAGCTACTTTATCATAAAATATCCATCATTTTACTTAGCTCTTGTGCTGGAATACCGAAAAAGTTTATATAATTGCCATCTTTTATATTTTTAAACTTCAAAAATAGCATTTAAAATTCTTTACAAATTTTAAAATTAAAAATAACCTTGTTATCAAAAAAAAATCTTGCAGTAAAGTAATTAAAATCATTTGCACTTTAAGAAGTGATTATTTAGATGGCACAGAAATAAAAGAACCATTACTCAGTTGAAGTGAGTCATGATGAGTAATGGAGGTCAAGCTAAATTACCCTTTAAGACTACTTAAATTAGTTTGCCGCTTTTTTTTAAAAATTACGGTAAATCCTCATTAGTATAAAATTCGATAGTGTGACACCTTGTTTACAATGACAGCTTCTTGACCTCACTTTTTTAGTAGAACTCTTATCAAAAGTACCCAATATTACCTGGGTAGTGTGACACCTTGGTTAAAAGGGCAGGTTTGAACTAGTCCTTTGAGTGTCATACTAAAGAAGTTTGAATGTAATGTATATTACTATGTAATCTGTTTTGACAGTGCATGAAAAGGTAAAAATATTTAAATAATTCATGATTTTTAGTCATTTTCAAAATTGTTCAAATTTTAAAAAATTTTTAGAATTAGAAAAGCATTTTGTTGCCAAATAATGTGTTTTTCCAAAGTCACATCGAGAATGCAATAACAATAAAAGTTGGAGCCGAACGCCAATAAAGGTTTGCAACTTTGTGAACGGTATGAATCAATCTCTGCTCTTTTATTATGCTTTTCCGGTGATTTGCGCTAAGGAATGTCAATAAAACTGACCACACTCAAGCCCCAATAAAATTTCGAAATATTAAAATTGGGGCAGTTGGGGTAGTAAAATCAGGAATTTTTACTGATTTTTGAGTTTTACAATATCATACTGTAACTCTACAATTCCAGAAGTTTTGCTTTGCTTTCTAAAAGCTTTTCTCAAATTTTAAACAAAAAACTCTTAGGCTTAGAGTAGAGGATAAATTTCAAAATGCTTGTAGTCCCACGACCTTTGTACAGTAGAACATCTGTATAACACACTTCTCTGTAACTAAATTTCTGTACAAGAACAACTTTTAAATTCTTTAGCGCTTTGTTATACAGGAGTTACACTGTAGTTGCATGTATGTTTAAATTGAGATTTTATTTTTAGATGTATAAGTTTAAAAACATGATCATATTTTTATTCGTTTTTAGTGACTTCAGAGTAACAGATAAAAACCATACTGTAGATCGGTCCGATTGATTTCAGATGAAATAACAACTTTATAGTTGAAGATTTGGAGGCCAGCGGATGTTATTGTAGGTTAACTGTGATTTGGTATGTTACAGCAAGGTTTTGTGAAAATAAAGTTGTAAAACTGCAGGGAAAATAAAAATATATTACTATTTTTTCACTAGTTTACTGTATAATATGTTAAATTTTACTGTATCACTCTTGTCAACATCTTCACCTAACCATGCAGTAAATTTAAAATGAATAATAAAAATCTATGTCAATGTCATTATTTATCACCCACGCGGCTTAACGTAATAAAAGTGGTCGAATGAGATACGGTACTTCCGTTTTTCAATGTTTTTAAAAGGATTTGCAGCAATAAATTTTAAAATAAGCATTTCTTGCACAGTGCATTCCACCGACTTCCTTCCGGTCATTCGAATTTCACTAATCAATTTGATCGACAAAAAACGGCTGGAAGGGAATGATCACGTGTTTATCGGTAGAAACCGTTAGAAGATCATGGAAGATTGGGTATTACATTGATTTACCGTTACCGGAAATGTGGTTAGAACATGATGTACAGTGATATACAATAATACACAAAAAATTAGAAGAACTAAAATAATCATACATATTTCATCGTATAACTTTTCACCCGCCAGCTGCAAAACCAAAAAAGCAATTTCTAATTCATAAAAAACTTAAAACTTCTAATCAAAAGTGCCAAAAATCTGTGTCGTCACAGAGTACGTATGATATATCATCTTCATAGCAATAAATTTCCAAGATAATTTTCCACTGACCAGTAGATAATCAAGGTCATAACTTTTCACATGATTTGTTGCGAAGTTTATAAAAAACATCTGCGATATGACGGATGAGCTTTATTAAGGTTACTCCACAATAAACTTTAAAAATGCGACTTTAAAATGCTGCAGAGATCTTGAAAAATCAATTTTTTAAAAATATTTTTGTTAAAAGTTATTATAGAAGAAAAGTGCCCAACCTTGGCATTGTGTTTCAACCTTATAAATTTGCCATTTTTTGACTTTCAAGCATTTTTCTTTAATATACTAGTACGAATCCTGTCCATGAACCTACGGTTTTAAATTTGTAGGCGTAGCTCGTCTGAGAAGTCAAAAAAACTGCTTGAAGCGCAATGCCAAATTTACCAAATTGGCACAAAATTCAAATATTTAAAATTTAAAACTTAAAAGCACCAGTTAAAATTCTTTATGGGTACTATTGGTAGTATAAAGAATTCATAAAAAAATTTTTGAGCTGATTCTGGGCAGGAGAACGGGTAATTTCCTTGTTGACTTTTTACTAAAAATTTTGGTTTTACATTATAATCCCAGGTTGATGACGTTGACATTCCGAAAATTTATGTTCTGTAATGTTAAGTTACGGTTAGTAGTATAAAATCACATTTTATTCTTTTTTTCTGATTTTGAAGTATAACCTTCACTATTCCTTCCGTACAAGCTTCTGCTCATTACTCGTTCATCATTACTGTAACTTCCTCCCAACTTCTAAACCTTTCCAAGAACCGCACAGTATGATGTGAAACGACCCTCACAGCCATCTTCAAACATCATAAATCTGACTTCCGGTAATGTGACCACAACTTATTTGTTTGCATTTCGTTGCAGCAATGACCATGAAGTTTTTTGTTTCACAAAAAATGAATTACATCGACGACTTTTTTCGAATGAATTACATCGATGAAAAAACGGTCTTGGTGCCAGTTAGACTGGCGGAACCATGAGAGAAGGGATTCCAAAGTTGTAACAGTGATCGACGGGTTTAAATCAGTTTGACAAACATTCATTAAAAAGGAAGTCTTCCAAGTTTGATGGAAATGCAAAAAAGTTGTGAAGACAAGTTGGAGATGGATTCTAGAAAGTTCACAAAACAAGTTATAGTTTACAAGGAATGTGTGAACAATGTTTTAATTATACAATGTTAACTAAAATTGATTTGGCACACGCAGAGCTCGGGATAGCTAAATTATCACAAACGTTAGCAAACCTTGTGTTTTATCTCAAGTTTAACAAATAAAAAGATCAAATTAGTAGTTAAATCTCATTAAAATTATCCAACATCAATGTTGACAAAATATAATACCTCAAATTTAATCTACTTATAATAAAAAACATACAAAGTTCAGTAATTTACTTTCAGTAAAGATCAGTAAAAAGAAAGTTATGACACGTTTCTAATTCGGCGTCAAGTATTCTTTTCTTCAACAAATTTTTGTCGAAATTATTTTATTTCAAATAAAAATTAACAAATTTGATGTCAGGGGATCCTTCCACAACAACTCTGCGAAATGTTCAAAAAGAATTGGCAGAATATCGACGGAAACATGAGGAAAAGTTGAAATTGGCACGGCAGAAGGAAGAAGAGGTAATTTTCATTTTGTTCTAATTTTTCCTTCGGGTTTAGGTTGAAGTATTGAAGGGAACAGCTAGTGTTGACATTGCATAAGGTGTAGAGGATGTTTTAATATACTTTTTCTTAGGTTTTAAGATGTAAAAGAGTAATTTTTAAGGAAGAAAAGAGATTGGCAGAAGAACGTGAAAAGAAGATGAATCCCAAGTCAAATCTTCGCTTTTTTCAACTCTGGGCGATTGATGTGTTAGATATTCTACCTTTAAGGCTTTGGAGAAAGTTCAACGCCAAATACCCGCTTCAATGCTGGGTTGTAACACTTTCTTTTTGGCTGATTGGTCAACTTCTAGCTGCTCACATTGAATTTGGATGTGTTTACTTCTTGTTTTCCCTATTCCTGTTGATGTTTTTGAATTTGGGAGTGCGAGCTGAAGGCGAACTTAGTGCTTATTCTGTTTTCAACCCTAACTGCCATAGGTTGTTGGGTCAGATAACAAGCGAACACTTCGAACGAGACATGTTGATGCAGGCCAGAGAGGATGATGAATGACCCGGCTGTTTGGAGGTGGTGTAAATATTGTTTTAAAATTCTGTGTTAACTGTTCTTAGTTTTGGATAGTGGATTTGGAGATTGCGGGTTTTTCAATAAATTAAATTATTATTTTATTTCTTTGTGATATTAAGGTTGACAAAGATGGTTTAATCGTAGTGATATAAGTCATCAATATTCATGTTGGGGTTTTAGTGTTGTAAATATTGAAAGAAACGTTAAATTTTGTTATTCAGTTCAAATGAACACTTTTAAAAATCCGTAAACGTTATTGATATACATTTTGCACTAGCACATAGCCATAAACTATCCAATTTCCGGATTCTTCACTCAAATTTTGATGTGAAAGCGGATTGCATTAGTACGAAGAACAAGTGTCAGTTGTGTCAAGCACAAACCAAATAACAAAAAGAGAGAATAAACACAGACAGTAAATATTTTTGATGTTTGTGGCACGGTTTAATCAAATTTCGATAAGGTTTTTTGTGAAAACACAGCTGTTTGGAAACGTCGATTATTTGATTTTTTAATTCTGACAAATCAGGCTTAATTTGAGGCGGATCTGAAGGTTTTGTGCAGGTTTTAATGGGAATGTTTACGGCTTTTGGTTGATAATTACTGTGGATTTGTTGATCTTTGTTATGGAGGGGATTGAGGGGTATAATGGTGATCAGGGTTGTGAATGAGGCACCATGGGTTTGGGCTTATTTTCGGCTAGGCGACAAAAGTTTGGTTTAAAAGTCTGGCTAGGGGACAAAAATGCTTGATTTGACATTTTTAGGATTTCTGGTGGGGGGGCATCCATATGAAGTTTCAAAAAGTACTTTTTCAAAAAAAATGTCGAAACACGAATGCACTTTCAATTTGTACTAATTCAAAAGAACCTAGGTGGCCTCAAATCAATTTAAAATTAGTTAAGTTCATCTTAAATGAACATTAGTTTAACTTTATATCGGTTTAATCTTCCACCCCGCAGTGACACCCAGAAAGCAACTTTATTTATGAGTGCAAAAAACAAGAGACAGGAGGGATTTCACGTTTGTCCAACAACCTGGCCAATCCACTCGAAACGACTTGTCCCGGCTTTTTTTTAATCTTAAAGCCCAGAGGGGTTTTTGACGTTTTCGATACAAAACGTCGAAACCAAGGATCAGGTTGACAAGGCGCTATTTAATTTGCGGTTTTTATACAGGGACTTTGAAACAAATGACTTGGGATTGGTTTTAATTTAGAAGAAAAAAGTTTTTCTAAATTTTAAAGCTTAGATCTTGGAAATTTTAATTGAATTTATAGTTTTTTTGTAGTAAAGGTTGATTTAACTTAAAAATTGCTATTTGGTTACCGTATTATATCGAGTCTTTTTGCATTACTCTTTCACTTTTTGTGTATTAGATTTTGATTCTTATATTCGGTGCCTAATGTGTATGTTACGTTACAGGACACAATATGCCTAAAAGATCAAGAGAAAGCTATGTACAAGCAGTGAATGAACTACGTAATCGAGTAGCAAAAGTAAGCATGATTTTTATATTTTGAAAAAAGTTTTTTAAATCTTGAATTCGTTATCGAAATGTGGTGGGAATCTTTAATAAATTACTATTGTAAACAATTTAAGGTATAATACAAGAAAACCCCCCTTAGTATGACACACAAGGGACTGGCTTAAACTTGTCCTTCTAACCAGAGTGTCACATTATGCTCAAAAAGCTGTCATTAAAAAGAGAGTGTTACACCATTGAGCGCCATATTAAAGAGTTTTCACTATACAAATGTTATGAACTCATTTCAGCACTCAAACAATGCCAAGTTCCATGCAACCGATATTCATCGTGCCGAAACCTTTGATTGGTGGCTACATTCCTTCTTAAAATCGCGACAGAACGACCTTGACGTAGCTTCAGCCGTCTTTTTCGAATGTTTGAAATGGCGGCAAAGTTTTGGAGTCCATTGTAAGTGATTGATATTATTTTGCTTCACTCTGGTGCTGTTGGTACAATTTTTTATTTTTGGAAGAGGGAGGGGACCTCAAAGACAAAACAATGTTCATGTATACTGATGGTCATACTCTATCTTTATACTCATACTCAACTTTTATTAGGTTGTTCAAATAATTCTGTACCGCCCAACCCCAAAAATTTGCTTTAAGAGGGGGCACAGAATTATTTGAACGTCCTAATATTCTCATTTTCTGGTTTTGTGGCACATGTTCTTTGCCTATATTACTTTTGTTATTAGCTATCGGATTGCTTGAGCTGAAGACGGCATTGGAAAACAACTTTGTGTACTTCCACGGCAATGACAACGATGGTAACAGACTTTGTAAGTTGATTTGCACTTATCAGTGATAAAGAACAACAATTTATCATAATGTCAATGATAAATTGTTGTCTGGTCTGAAAGTGCAAAAGTAATTGTTTTTGGTCTCACTGTGTAAATGAAGTATACTGGTAATTTCAGTATGGATTAACTTTGACAAAAACGATGGTAATGAGAAGCTCAACCAAAGATTACTTGTATTCTGGTTGGAACGGCATTGTGTTGATACCGAGAATCAACCGATTTCCATCTTCATGAACTTCAACAATGCTACAGCTCAGACTATGGTAAGTTCGCTTCACAATAGAGGACAGCTCTCCTTACTATAGTCAACAAAAGATACCTGTTTTTCCTTGTTACCTATTCCATGACCAGTACTATACTAAATTATGTTAAAAAGCTTCATATTACTGTTGATAAAGGCTCAACATTACTACTTTTTACTCGTTTTAGGACCTAAACTTCATAAAATTTGTCTTCCATTGTGTACGATACTACTTCCCAGCATGTTGTCATCGTATCTACGCTCACGAGGTTCCACTTCGGTTATGTGCCAACTGGAGGGTAGTTAAGCAATATATTGATGCTGTCGACTCGGAGTTGTCAAATTGTACGATACAAACGGTGGGAAGGACAATAGCAACATACATACCTCTACGTTATGTTCCCAAGTATATGGGAGGGCATGTAAGTTGGATGTTCCAGTAGAAGTCGATTAATTCGTTAGAATTCTTGATTAGATTCATGTAGATCCATTCATTTTTTTTGTTTCTTCTATAAATACCTTCCGAATCTATAAATGACCCCCTGAATCCACTAATCCTGTCGTTTTTTCAAATTTAAATTAATTTTGTAAAAAATATTGTTTAAGGATGACTTCAAGTTCACGTTGAGTGATTTGGCAAGATCAACAGGATCACCAATGGTTCGAGCCAGAAGATTCGGCAAGAACCTCTCAAATTCCTTGGAGAGCTTCGATTCAGAATCCGTTAGTGACGAAAGCCCTTTGAATTCATTGATCGAAGAGGTGGAAAACCGAAAATCCAAAGCAAAACCCGAAAATAAGCTGGTAAAACAAGAGAGCACAGAGAAAAAGAGGGTGAGTTTAATGGAATATGGAATAAAGTCATGTTGTAGTAGATAACATGAGCCAAGAGATGTTATAGTATTAGGTTGTTCAACTAATTATGTGCCCTAACCCCAACATTTGATTTGGGAGGGGGCGCAGAATTATTTGAACAACCTAATAAAGAAAAACTGCCAAAATATGATGTTATAGTAGATAAAATTGGTCAAAATGTAATGTTATAGTAGTTAGAAATGGTCAAAAAACTTGAGTTTTCAGAAAATAGTTGCTGACCTAACATACAAGCGATAAATCACCCAAAGTCATAATAAAATATATTATAGTTAGTCAAGTTCGAAGCCGACTACAGCCAAAACACGACGAAAACCGAAGATACCTCTATATTATCCACCTCAATTGACTGGCAACATCGCAAGTTCATGGCGGTTGCTCCAAAGCGCTCGATAACCATCTTCTACGACCTTGATGACCCCAACGAAGGCGCAGTAAATCTAATACTACAAAGTATGTCAGCATGGTTTGTGTATTTTACTGTGGGAGCAAACTCAAGACGACACTTACAAATCACTCCAAACAAAGGGATTCTGAATCCAAATGAGAGGATCAATGTGATTGTTAAGGCACTCAGTAAGTTTTTGATTATATTATGGTACTCGAGGACTAATATTGACAGTAAAAGTACAAAATAGTACCATGTTAGTATTAAAAATGAATTTAGTACTAAAAAACATTTATATTACTTTAGTTCCTATCCACAACCCAGCCAAGTACAAGATCGAAATATTGGCCGCCCGCTACCGCAATCCCCCTGCCATGGCCTCATCTTCAACTGGTCCAGATATGTACTCAGAAGCTCCGGAAGATCGTGTCAAATTCCACTACGATTGCTTCGCCAGAGCAGATCGTACCACCAAATACCCAGATTGTTACCCAATCAATGAAGAAGCTTCTGAATACGACAAAAAGATGAGTTTACTACACAAACCTTCTGATGTATACTCACATAAGACCTCCGACAGCATGTACGGACAACTTATCCGACAAGCTATGTCATCCACCCCCAAATACGACGTAATAGACGATTCTAAAATGGATATTACCCTACCCGATCAAATCACATTGTTTGGCAGGGGGAATGCGCTTCAAAATACCAAATTCTGGTCGTATTTTATCATTCTAGATGCGTGCTTGGCATACATTGTGTACTTTTTGTATACTGTAACTTAATACGGATATATTTGGTCTTTTACATTAGATTTTAGAATATTACTGTATATACTAATCGTCGATTATTTAGCTAATCTATAACAATATATTTTTGTAAGCTGTAATCATTCTACCTATTTATTTGATGTCTCAGTACTTCAACTATACTTTTATGTTACTATACTTGTATCAGAAACTTTATTTTAATTTTTACAACACATTTTATCGCCTGTTACTTATCACAAATGTAAAAGATTTGAAACAAAACTAGTTCAAAGTGTAAAAACTACTTTTTTTTTAAGTTAAAATAAACCTACTACAATATAAAAAGACGTACAAATCTTTCAAAAACTCCCCTTAGAAACAAGTAACAAATTTATTAACATAGAAATATGAATTGATATGACAGCACTTTCCCATTTTATACAACAACTTATATCACTATTTTATATTTCACCCGGTTCCCGTTCATTTTTACTCGTATTCAACTCGGTTTTCTGCCTAATTTCCGCGTCACGGTACTTGGTAATGGCCAGCAAACGGTTCGACTGGTTCTCTTTCAGTATCTCCGTGTACTCGTTCGTGATGTCTACAATGATATAGATTTAAGTTCAGAAAATAAATAAAAAAATCAGATATATTTCAATAGCCGTACCTAACAGTTCCCCGTAGCTCAATTCGCATTTTACATCAAAGAATCTCTTGGTTAACGTCTCCCCATTCACCACCACTCGTATCGTTGGTATATCGACCTCCTTCCACATTACCATCACGAATATCACAATACAAGCCACAGTCTCTGGTCTGTAGCGGACAGACCAGTCGGTCATGTGTAAACTGTCCGTAGCCAACCAAAACCCGATCTCTCGTGGCAAATGATCGTCTGGAAAGAAGGTTTCACACATCTTCAACACAAATGGATGGGGTACTTCCACGTTGAAGTCGAATCCAGTAGTTTGAAGTATCACATTCTCGAGCCATACAAGATACGCTGCTACGTGTTCATATGTCTTCTTATCCAGCTTGGAATTGAGCTCCCACAGATCTTTCGGGCAGTCGACTTCCACTTTTAATCGATAGAAGCATAGGACAAGGTCCTTCAATCTTCGCGGGCATTCTTCTGACTTTGAGGCCAAGAACATGGTTGATGTTATCACGTCCTAAAACAACATTCAAAATTTAGAATATAGGTTATCCAAATATATAAATATATACTTCCAAGTCTATGCTAGCTTTAAACATAGAAAGTGTGTTCGTGTAAGTTTGGATTAACATTTTTAAAGATCTTTAATTAGGCATAAACTTACACGAGGGTCGTAATCTGATAGCCTGTTTACTAAAAAAAATCTCCTCATCTGAATAATGGCAACTGATATGCATAACGATGATCTAAAAGATCAAAAAGTTAAGTCTTCCAGTTAAAACGATAAAATTGCAAAAAACCTGGTATCATAACATAAACTGCTTATAAACAAAAATTTCTTTATGGTTTCTAAAAATATTGTTTTCCACCACCTTACCCATCCATTTTTCAACACCTTTCATACATTTTCAAGCATAAAAACCAAGAAAGAAAACCAATACTTACAATTTCGCCGTGTTCGGTATCTCATTCATCCTCAACGCCAAATCTCGACCAAATGCAGCTGCTTGTCGAAGTGAATTCTGCTCTCTATCGTACGAATATCCTCCCAATATACTCGGCGACCTCATGAGATCGGACTTGGGGTAGTACCATTTCGGAACAATCAAACCAACCGTCGAATCTGCTTTGCTTTGGATCAAAGGTCCAAAATTCAAAGTTTCCATCCGATTCGCGTGCTAACAACTAAATGTCGATGTTCAGCATGATAAATTCAACTTACAGATGAAAATCTGCTATAAAATACAATAAAGTACCCGTTTTGCTATAGAAATTGAAAAGAAGTAGAAAAAAACGACCAAAAAGCAGAAAAAACAAAAAATTGTTTCGTGACGGAACGCCAAGAAAAGTTAGCAAGAAGTGTTTTTCGTCGCAGGAAAGTAAATTGACTCTGTAAAATGTTTGAATATTATAATTAAAAAAAAATTTTTTTTAATTTTTATTGTATTTTTTCTCATATTGTGAACATCTTTTTTCATTTTCACTGATTTTTTCTTGTTATTCTGTTCGAAAAAAGAATGCCGCTATGTTTTGAAGCCATCAAAGTGCGTTTTTAAAAGGTCTTGACTCGGTAAACGATCTGCACTTACCTTTTGATCTTGACCAAACAATCGTGGATTATCCTTCGGAATTGCTATGCAAATTTATTCCTTTTGAGCTTGATTCTTGGAAAGTGAGCTTGAATATACAGTTTAATACCTAAATTTTCAGTTTTTTAGGTTTATTTTATTCAATTTATGTTATCTTACTTTTTATTTTGAGAAAATTCCGTCTATTTTTCAAGTATAGGTCTTTTGACAGCCAATAAAGTTTTGGTAAACAAATATGGGAGTAAAGTTAATGGGCGTGAATTGAATTATTCTAATTACTTTCAAAAGTCATAAAGTCAGGGAAAATAGACCGATCCTATTTTAGGCTTGGCACCTGCCATTTCCGTTTTGTTTCTAGGTTTTCGGTCAGGTAAGCAGCCTAATATTATAATTCAAATGGGTTTCATTTAGAAATTGTATAGGGTTGACTTCTATTTGGCTTTGGTTGTCTTTCGGCCCGACTTTGGGACAAGGACACCGAATTTTAGGTATAACATAGCTGCTAAAAAGTTTTATATTTATTGTCATTTTTCAATACATAAATAATTTCATTTATTTTTTCTCTCGAAGTAAACACAAGACTTAATAACTATTTTGCTTATGCATATGACATGTTTTCCGGAAGTTTCTGAAGCTTTTCAACTTATTCTGATATAAGATACGTATTTCAAATCGTATTTGCACGTAGATAGTGTAATACTTGATGTCTTTGAGTAGGGTAGAGTGAGATAGGGTAGAGTAGAGTATGTTAGGGTAGGATAGAGTAGGGTAAAATTGAGTAGAGTAGGGTTGCGGGTAAAGTAAAGCATATTACAGAGTAGAGTAGGCTAGGATACAGATGGGCATGGTATGGAAAGGTAAGACAAGGCGATTAACTTGTACACTATATAGTAAAGTTTAAAAAACTTCTAAAGTTTTTAAAAGCTTTCGAACTTCCCTCAAATTCGAAATTGTTTAGAAATGCAGAAAGCCTCTTCCTGACTTCATCTAGCCATCCATCCGTTACCTCTAACTGATCCGCTCGTCAAACGTCATACTAGTCCCATTCGCTGTGGGGTACCCGTGATTTTTATTCGAATAAAATGGACGCGCGAAACATTCGCCAATAATTTTATTCGTTTTCAGGCTGTTATCTATTTAAATTTATTTAAATTGGGGTATTTATATAGGTTTAGACAATTTTTAGGCTATTTTTAGGGAATGGTTAATTTTTATTTTTATCTTTTAATTTTAAATCAGGGTAAGGCATTTTTTAATTTGAAATAGGGTATTTTTAACTCATTTTGTGTTTGATAATATAAGAATTGAAGTTTTTTATTTAATGATATTTACAAAAAAGTCTTTATCAGTTTACAAAACCTTTTTTATTTATGGTTGTTTCAAAGAAGTTGTAGGCGTCATTATGGCGCCGGTCCAACCTTAATAACAACAAATTTGGAAAGGGTCTTATAACTTATGAACTTAGGAGTCTTACATCCTATGAACTTGTAAGCAAAACGTGATTTTCTCTATATTTTTGTTATGCTTTACTTATTATTAAAAACTCTTCCAAACAAGACCAAAAACTTATTGAATTTTAATTTTTTTGTTGGTAGAGGTAAAGGGAAGGGGTGGCATGATAATGGCTTTCTTTAAAAAAACAAAATATTAATGAATACCTTCGAAGGCTATTTTTACTCAATTCGAATTCAAAAACATGCACTTTTCGGTCAAAAATGTTTTGAATGTTGCGTTTGTGTAAACATAATTTTAATCCCAAATTATTTTGGAAAAGTGCGCATTCGGAGGGGAAATTTTACTAATTGCTAAGCTAAATGGTGAGCAGTATTGTTGAGGCTTTACTAGGTTGTTTTTGAGTTTTCAAAGGTCATGTTGGTGGGATTTTTTAAATTTTTATTTTTTTTGGCAGTTTGATCTTATAAAAGTTTTTCTAAATTTTCTTTAGGTTTTTGATCATTTTTTGGATCAAAATTTACTTTTTTAGCTTACTATAAATTAAAGTTTTCAAATAATCTAAATTGCAAAACCCTGTACTATCTCACTACAAGTTCAAACACCGTTCACCTGCAGCTCCAGGTGACCTTCAACCCTGCATGTCCCTTCGCCACATCGTTAATCTTGATATAACAGCCCTTTCCTCTCATCTGAATATCCGTCGATCCGATTAGCTGATAGGGCATCTTGGTGTTGTCGAGTGTTCGCGTTTCCTATCATTAATCATATTTCTGGTTACTTTTATTGTCCTTTCATCCTGTGTAATGTTTTTTGTGGAACTATTATATTTTGAATGTTTTGTCTACTGATTTTTGTGTTTATAGTGATTAGTACGAGTAAAAGGAGGGTACTTCAGGAGCATTTTAAAAAGTTTTTCGGAAGGAAAGAAAACAGTCAGAGTACAGGGGAATGCTTCATAACAAACTACTGTCTAAGGGAAATTATGTATAGCCAACAACTTTTAAATCGCCGGCAACTGGTCTATAGGGGGAGGGACGAGGAGACGGGGAGGGTTGAAGGGGGGGGGCACGTGGAAAATTTAGAATTTTTTTGAAAAGTGGATGCACGGTTAACCTGTGGACCTAAAGTCTTTATTTGGTTTTAACTTTTTTCCTAGCTTTAGAAAAACTTTGTAGCGTCATCTCTGCCAGTTGTCTTGACTTTATTTTCAAAGCAAACCTAAAGCAACTTTCCCAAAATGTACATCAGAAGCCAGAAGCTCGGTTGATTGCGCAAAATTGAAATTCCGTTAATTACAAGTCCTCAAATGTAACTGCGCGCGACACAAAAGGAAAAAACCCGGCACTTTGCCCATCTTTCCGAATGTCCTTTCCATTCACTTTTGTGGTCACAAAACCGCTCCTCAAACGACTCTCGATCTGCCCTTTCGATCCTGTTCTATTACTTTTTGTTTTTTTCTTTGGTGCTCTCTCGGGTTTTTGCGATATTTTTCAGTTTTTAAAAATTTTATATTAATATATTTGAAAATGATGAAGTTTTTGAAATTTTAAAATACAATTTTAATTTTTAGGCTCATAAAGTGGTCTCTTTAGGTTTTCTCAACTTATGTACTCATTTACTCAATGCTTCATTGTACTATAAGTCATAATAACAATTGTACTTTCAACTGTCCTTCTCAACCACTCTCTCATGTCTCTACGGTCTTTTCAATGTCCTTCTATTTCATATTGCGCACAATAAAACAGAATAATGGCCGAAAAAGTAAGGGGCAGGGGCTTTTTGCGGTGGCGCTTACGTAATTGATGGCTATTCAAGGTAAAACCTGATGGATGACAGTAATGAACTTGTTCGAAAAGTGTGAGGATCTTCTTTGGGAAGGGTGTTTGCTACTGTTTTTGTAGGGATGGGGTTGGTTTGGGGTTAAACTGGTAGTTTTTTAAAAATTTTTGGTTTTTATTTAAAGTTATAAAAATTTTAAAGTGGGGTAGGGTAAATTAGGGCATGCTAGGGCGGGTTGTAGTAAATCTTCTGTAGTTGGATGGGGTAGAATAGAGTATATTAGCGTTGGGTAGGGTAGGATAGGATAGGGTAGGATAGGGTAGGGTAGGGTAGGGTAGGGTAGGGTAGGGTAGGGTAGGGTAGGGTAGGGTAGGGTAGGGTAGGGTAGGGTAGGGTAGAGTAGGGTAGGATAGGGTACCTGACAATTAAGGTATAGTAGGCCCTTTAAAAATTAAAAATTTTATAAAAGTGCATTTTAATTATAAAAGTTAGATTCAAAAACATACGTCTCTGACCCCCACGCTGCTATTCTTGACATTCTCTTGCGTCAAAATTAATATCTTCCTTTTCGGAGGTCCAAAAATAGTGGAAAAGCCTTTGGAAATCTCCTCGAACGGCCACTTTTCAATTATTTCTCGGATTTTCAAAGGTTTTTCGAGGAGTTTGAGGCGTAAAATGATGTGAAAACCAATACTCAACGCTTATTTTGGCCATCTTCACGAATTGAATTTCTTGAGACAAGTGTTGGTTAGACTTATTAGGTATTTAGGTAGTCTTTTTTATGTTTTTGGGCATTCAGGTTGAGTTTTATGTTTATTTTGGGGGTTTAAAAGGATTTTAATGGGTTTTTGGGCTTTCTTTTTAGACTTTTTGTCAGATTTTAGGCACAAAATTTAGGTTTTGGATACAAAATATACGTTTTAGGTAAGACATTTGAAAAATAATTTTTTTCTTTTTTAACTTTTAGGCTTCACTATTTAAACATAATTTTTCATATTTTAAATATTTTTTTGTGGTTTTTATGCCAGTTTCTAAAAGCTTTTTTTTGTTTGTCTATTCATGGCCTAGCCTTAACAAATCCGGGACCAAGGAATCGGATTTTGGTGATTTATGTTTCTCGCAATACGAACATTCTCAGATCGTATTTGAAAAGCTTCTAGGGTCCAGATGGGTTAAGATATTGCGTCATTTTAGCTTACTAGTTTAGTTACTAGTTTTGAAAAAAAAATTATTTTGATTTTTTTCTTAGGCTTAAGCTTAAACTGCTTTTCTGAAGGGCTCTAGAGATTTAAAATTAAACTTTTTTTGAAGTTTAGGTAACATTTTTAATTTTTTGTTTTTATTTTTTGATGTAGGCAAGGAGCTTTATGACATTTTCTAAAATATTCAAATTTTCAAAAAATTTTTTGCTCATCCATATTTGGACAGCATGATAATTTAGACTTTTTATTCATATTTCTACATATTGTTGATAAAATTAAATCTTATAAAAAACTTCTGACCATTTCATACTTGATCTAAGTCAAATCGACGCCTATTTCGTCAGAAATCATGGCCATTCGAAAGAACGTTGGGAACGTTTTGCAATAAAAAGCGAAAAAGATTGGAATTGTCTGCAGGTTTTAGGCTAGCTTTTTGTTATGAAGAATTAAACTGTTCTGATTTATGGGAAAGGACTTCTGACTTTTTATATTTTTATAGTGATAACGTGTATATATTAAGTTTTATCTGGTATACAAGGCTTGGTTTTAGCTTTGTAGATATTTTTTTCGACTTGCCTTAATGAAGACCGTATTTTACACTATTTTTTTTCAAAGATATTTTTTGTTACTATTTCATGACTTTTGGTTTAAAACGGACTTTACACATCAAGAATAACTCTTTTTTTATATGTACCTACATTTATATTGAATTTACGCGCGGTTTTTAACAAATTTTAACGAAATCTCTGAAAATGAAAGGTCAATTTAATGTTTGTTTGTACTTTTTTAGACTTTGTTTATTCAAAAACTGGGAAAAAACGACTAAAAATTGGGTCCGATTAATACAAAACATTCCCTGTTTCATTATACATTCCATCAGTTGACGGCTCAGAATGTCGCTTCGACTGGATTCTGAAGTCGAAAAGCCCATCTATGACAATCCGACCAAGGAGGACAGGGACGTAAGTGTGTATTTTTTGGTATCTATGGTATTAACTTTAAATTCATTTACTTAAAAATGCTTTACTGACCAAAGTGTAGCGTATTTCAAAATTTTTAAAAATGCACGTGCTGAATGCTATATATGTTTGTTAATAGTACTATATTTTTAATTTTACAAGCTTTTAAGTATGAAGACCTCGAAAAGATTGTTTTATAGTAATTAAAGTGCTAACTGGCTTAGAATTAAAGGTTTAGACGTGAAAAGCTCAGTATCATTAATAATACAAAGAATTCAAATAAAAAGTTTTGGTCGATTTTTTCACTTTGGGGCCATTTTTTATTACTGGTACTATAATTATAAAAGTTCTTACTTTTCTTTTTTTTCAGAATGAAGATAATGAAGGAGATATGGGCCTGAAGCCTTCAATCACATTATTTGGCGGTGTTATGATCATTGTTGGATGTATCATCGGTTCTGGTATCTTTATCTCACCTAAAGGTGTTCATGAAAGTGAGTTTTTTATTTTTTTTTGAACTTTAAAATTTGAAGAGTTTCAAATAAAAAAAGAAATATTACTTTGATAGGAGTACGTTAATATTAAAAATGAAAGTATAAAAAAGCCTTTAACAGTAGATAACCATACCTATTTTTACCTATTTGTAGACATTCAATCAGTGGGCTGGTCGCTGATAATCTGGGTGATATGTGGTCTCTTCTCAGCCATCGGAGCTTATTGTTATGCCGAGCTGGGCACTTTTATTCGTTCTTCTGGAGGTGATTATGCATACGTATTGGAAGCCTTTGGTCCTCTAATGGGCTTTATTCGTATGTGGATTGAGTGCATCATCGTACGACCATGTACCATTACCGCGGTCGCTATGACATTCTCTACCAACATTCTACAGCCTTTGTATCCGCATTGTCCTCTGCCTCATTTGGCTCCACAGTTTGCGGCAGCTACAGTTATATTATTGTTGTGTATGATTAACTGTGTGAGTGTCAAGTTTGTGGGATATGTGCAAAACTTGTTCACTATTGCCAAGCTGGCCGCGTTGGTACTGATCATCTTTACTGGGGTTGTGCTGATCTTCATTGGGGATCGTGAGTTGTTTTTAGAGGGCTTTAAGGGTTATCTTGGCAAAGAATTTATTTAAAATTTTAATTCAATGGGAATAAGGTTTTAAAAAATCAAATTTTAGCCTATTTGGACTCATTCGAAAGCATGTTCGAAGTCCCGAACATTGGGGCAGGCCAAGTCGCCTTAGCCTTCTACTCTGGCCTCTGGGCTTACAATGGCTGGAACTACCTCAACTTTATCACGGAAGAACTCATCAACCCCATTCGTGATCTACCCAGAGCCATCTTGATCTCTATGGTTATGGTTACTGTAGTTTATCTACTGACCAACGTCGCTTTTTACGCAGGCACATCTCCAGATGACCTACTTGAATCAAAGGCTATTGCTGTCACCTTTGCCAACAGATATTATGGTAAAATGGGTATTATCATGCCAATTCTGGTGGCTGGAAGTTGTTTTGGCACAGTGAATGGTATCATGTTAACGTCGTCGAGGTTGTTCTTTGTAGCTGGTCGGAATCAACATATGCCAAGAGTATTGAGCTATCTGAATGTCGAGTGGAAGACGCCGGTACCAGCAGTACTATTTACATGTTTGTTGTCATTGTTCTACCTTTTGTTGAGTGATAACATCTACACCTTGATCAATTACGTTCAGATTGTCAACTGGTTGGCTATTGCTATTGCCACTTGTGGATTACTGTATTTGAGGTGAGGGTTTAACGTTTTTTACTGTTACGAAGTTATAAACATCAGTTTTTTTGAGCATTTTAAAAGCTGAAATGTTGCAAAGTGTCAAAAAAATTATTGGAAAATTTTACTCTGATGTTGCTATATGTCACAAAAATTATTGATTTGTAAAATTTGAAAAAAGTCATAATTTTTCAATTCGAAATCCGTATTTTACTCAACAAACTTTCAAGATTTTACTTTCAGACACACCAAACCCCCAAAAGACTACCCACGCCCACTCCAAGTCGGTCTAGTCTGGCCGATTATCTTTTTATTAGGATGTGTCTTCCTGATCGTATTCCCAATCATTCAAGCTCCAATGGACACAGCGATTGGAATTGGCATCATGTTGACTGGAGTGCCAGTATACTTCATATTTGTGCTTTACCGACGCAAAGTGCCATTCATTGACAGAGTAATGGACGATGCTACTGTCTTTGCTCAGAAGTTGTTCTTGGTGGTACCGACGGAGAAGAAGGAGACTTAAAATTGGGGCTTTTCTGTTGCCAGTTTTTTTAAATTTCAAAGTTTTTATAGATTTTCAGGTTTTTCAAAGGTTTGTCTTACTGTAATTTGATCAAAAAGGGTTCTTATTACTGTATTTTTTATCAAAAAATGTTGTTTTTAACAGTAATTGTTATCTATCTTTACTATTTTTCAGCATTCTTACTTTTTTTAGCATCTATAGTAAAAGTTTTTTGTATTAGGTTTTTCAAATAGTTCTGTGCCTCCTAACTTTGCAAATTTGCTTTAAGAGGGGGCACAGAATTACTTGAACAACTTAATATTTTCATTATCCTAAGATTAATGTAATAGGCTGTTCAAATAATTCTGTGCCTCCTAACCCTGCAAATTTGCTTTGAGAAGAGGCACAGAATTACTTGAACAACCTAATATTTTCATCAGCCTAACAAGTACTGTAGATTTATAAGTTCGCATCCCTGACTGTTAATAACTATTGTGCCTTTTGGTCTAGTATTATGTTCTCTTATCCTTTTTTGCACTTTTATATTTTTGATATCCTGCCAAAATTTTCTATACATTGTTAATGTTCAATAAATTATTGATTTTTTTATTGCAAACATTATTTTTTTTAAAAAAAGTTTTATTTTAAAAATTAATGAAACCACTAAAATATTTATTCAAAATGTACAATAATCTCGTTTCAAAATGACAGTATGTAGCCTACATACATATGTTAATATAGGTACTCTGTATATGTTAATATAGGTACTCTCAATTGTCATTGTTATTCAACTTTAACTGCTCGCTAAGCCAGCCAATTCCAGCGACAAGACCTTGCCCACTCAATGCTGAACATCGCTCGATACGCCAGTTATGTTGTCGAATCACATCCAAACCCAAAGTTATGTTGATCTCCCTTTCCGACAGTATCCTTGCCAAATCACTTTTGTTTGCAAAGACTAGAATTGGTATCTAAAAAGGAAAGAAGTTCCATTGTACCAATAAAAAAAGCTTTAACTTGACGTATACTTTACAAAAATTATGTTGTTATTACCTAAAATTTAAAAAAATAAAAAAAAACCTACTTTTCTACCCTTAATATCCTTATGATCTAATATCATCCACAACTCATCTCGAGCTACAGCCATCCGAAGTTTGTCCGAACTGTCCACAACAAAGATAATGGCATTACAGGCTTTGAATTGGGTCTCCCATAAGTTTCGGTATTTGCCTGTAAAATACTTTTTGTTTACTCAATCAGCTCAATTATAGTGGTTATATCCATATTATGGCCAAATAAAAATACTATTCTACTGCTTAGGATTTCAATATTGTTAAGGAGTTATGATATAAAAACTGAAATTTTATCTTAAGAAAATGATTACTATACTATCTTATGCTTCTTTTCGAATATCCACATTTTGTAGAAATATTTGGCTTCAGACCTATTTACGCTAAAGTCAGATAATAGAACCTCAAAAAGCCTACTTTGTCCACTCATATCATACGCAGTAAAAGCAATATTCGAAGCACTAAACTTTTCTACATTATAACCAACAGTTGGTACCACAGTATTCAGTTGATTATCTGGCGGCTTCAACTGATTTAAAATACTCGTTTTACCGCTGTTATCCAAACCAAGTACCAACACTTCACATGGCTGCTGATGAGGAGCAAAGAACTTGGCTATGGCCGAAAATAAACCCATAGAAAGCAGTTAGAGTAGGCTTAAGATAGAAAGTAGCTAATATAAAAAATAGTTCTTAATGCCTAATTTAATGCTTAATAATAAAAATAATTTAAGTAGGTTTATAATAGAAAGGAGTCAACGTAGGCTTAGAAAAAAAATAGTTAAAGCTTAAAATTATGAAAAAATGTAAAATTGTCAAATTTTAGCAGTTGTTTGAGCTCCAAATATCAATAAGTAATAACAATTTTTTACAAATGCAGTAAAATACTAAACATTAGTCTACAATAACAAAAAAATATTCAAGAGACAAGATGTGCAATAAAGAAATTAATGAAAACTTGGAAATTATTCACTGAGAAGAGTTACTATGGAAACAGAAACTTTCTTTGATTATACGATAAAATGTGTCAATTTTATGAAGAAGAATCAAATGAACAAAATCCTCAACATAATTTTTTTTACAAATTCAATCATACAGTAAAGCTTCTGTATAACGAGTATCTTAAAGCTTTTTTATTTTTTCGTTATGAAAGAGCTTCATATGCAAGAGTTTTAAATGTACTGTGTACCGAGGTCGGAGAATTTAAAAGTTGTTTGGTATACAAGATGTTTTTTATAGAAGAGTTTGCTGTACAGCTACAATTTATATGCATTAGTGAATTCCAGACGAGAACGGGGAGTGTTTTCTTTGTAAATAGATTTTTAGCTAATTTTTTGAGTAAAGTACAGTAAGTGTTATTCTATTTGAAAAAAAGCTTCATGTTATTTATTTTAAAATTTTATTGCTTCAGTAAAACTCAAAAGACGTGGCAATAAATTGGAGTTGTGAATGACAACCGAGTGGACGGAAGCGGATGTAGTGGACATTCTTTGAAACATATATGGTCATTTGCAAATAAAAAACATGTGAGAACCATTCAGCTGCATATCCGATCTTACATTATTGTTTGCTTAGATGGCTAATACGAATTTTATGATGATATTGTAGACATTATAGATTATCTTGTGGTGTACAGTTTTCATAGTACTATATTTTTACTTACAGTAGTTGTAAAATATAAACTTATTTTTGATTTTTTATACTATAAATTTGTTTACTGTAATTTTTAATCACTTTATATAAAAGTTTTTTTGTTTTTTGTAAACAATAATGTATAATACGATAAATTATGTTGTTTTAAAGAATTTTAATACATGTATATTGTTTTTTCATAATTTTTTCTAACTAACCACAAGGGAATATACAACAAAAAGTGTATGAAAAATGTTTTATACGTTACGATACATTAACTTTTATATGTGTTTTTTAAAAGTTTAAACTTTTTTTCAAAAAATTGTGGTTTTTAAATGTTATAAGGATAGAAAACGGTCAAAAAGTTTGTAGAATTCAAAAAAAATTTAATTGTAAAGTTATATTTAATAACCTAGCACTAGACATATGGATTCTCAGGGCCAGCCCTGAGCAAAATTTAGCTCGGGCTTACATTGGGCAGGGCTTGAAAAGTGGACCGGCCCGGCTCGTTTCCCATCTCTACCTGACATTTTATAAGTTTCTGCTTCATACCAATATTTAATATAGGCTATGTGTTCATTTTGCAAATATTGTGTCTTACATGGTGTCCTGAATGAGTAAGCTTTTAGAACGTAAATAGCGTGTAGACAAACACAAGTAATATGTATGTATTAGAGTAATGTTTGTGTAAAAGCTATCGGTTTCGCGTTTGACCCGACTCTTAAAAAGGCATCTGATATTAATATTGTATAACTGGTCATTTGGTATGAGTTAAGACACATTTTTAAAAATTTTTTTTTTAGATTTAGGAAGCTTTTTTAAATATTGATTTGAAAATCTCCAGGCTATTTGTTATATAAGAGCTCAATTTTGCAACTTTTTCCTATATCTACATTCTATACCAATTACGCTGACTATAATCACGCTGACCACAATCACGCTGCCCACCGTTCACGGGAACAAAAACGTCTCCTATCATTGCTGGTTAGTGTTGCGTTGTTTACTCTAATAATCGAAACGAAGAGAGCTTTAAAACAAATATTTTTGCAAACTGGTCACTCATGGGTTTGACTTTGCGCCGCTTCAAGTGCGGCTAGCCAATGTCAGCCTTACAAGGGGACAACGTTGTCGAGTGCACAGGTTGACGTTGGCTTGTATCATAACTTTTTGACGTTTTTAAAAGCTGTTAAATTTTTGATCAAGAGTAGGGTAGTGTTGCTTTTTTGATATAAAGTTAGGGTCGTTAGTGTTAACTGAATAATTTTAAATTTAGAAACATTTTTTGAGAGATGTGGGACAAAAACTTTATCGATTTTAAATCCTTTGCTATGCTATGCTAAGCCACTTTGATCTTATACAGTAACAACCCCTTAGCTGTACTAGCCAAAACTAGGCTAACGGCTAACATGACTAACCGTCCATTCCTGAACAACTTTTGTTTTTTGTTTTGAATACATTCCTCCAGGCGTTTCAGAATACAAAACTTTGTTCGGGTTGAGTCATTTTCCATAACACAGCCTTTATTTATATTTCTTAAATCATCACTTCTTATTGTTTTGATTATAGCTTTTTAGGGAATCTTAGCGCATAGAAATGATTCTGTTTTAATTTTTAATTTTAGCCCATATTAAAAAATAATTATGAGTCAAAATGATCTTGGAATTTTTTTAATAACTCAAGAAAGATAGGCCTTAGTACATTTAGCTTTAACTTTTTTTTACTTGTCTAAATTAGCATATCATAGAAAAATCTTTTTCGATACTATAAGTTTTTTTCAAAAATTTTTAGCAACTAATTTTACTGTCATTATTTTAGAATTTTTTGATGATCAACCCATATACAGTAGAAGTACAGTATAACGAACGCCTCTATAACCAAATTTTGTGTAGCGCACAACTTTAAATCTCTAACTAACATTACAGTGCTTTTAAAACTCCTCTAATCTGAAACTCTTTTATAATGTATAAAATCTTTGAGCTGATTGTTATACAGACGCTTCGCTGTATATCATTAGTAAGCCAATTTCATTTTGTGCCGAAACCGGCTAGGAGTACTACTCTTTGAATTTTCCTTAATCACACCTCCAACATTGTCTCAACTCTTGCCTTACTGTAATAACAACGTTGTTTATTTGCAAACAATAATCCGCAACTCATGATTCCCATGCATTCTTAGCACCTTTTTTCAACGTTTTCTTTCAACTAGTATAAAGAATCGCCTTTTCCCAAAAATCCCGAGGCCAGCGGCGATTTTCGAAGACAAAAGAAAAACAATTCCCAACTCTTCACACGATGACAGTCAGTCGGCTACGATCCTAGCATCTTGTGTTGGAAGTAGTGACCTCTCGGGTTTGGGACAACAATTGGAGTTCAAGTGGATAAACAATGTCAGGATATGATTACAGTGACAAGTTTGAAGGGTTGTCCGATACTTTTGGAGGGGATGGTAATGAGTGAGTGAGGGTTAGACTTGTAAGGGCTCGGCTTTAGAATCAAAAAAGTTTATCACAAAGCCTTTTAACACGGATTTACTGGTAAAATACAAAGTTATTGAGCTCTTATCACCTTTTTTCTAAATCAGAAAGCGATTCCTTTGAGTTCACGCGCCACTTCTTCCGTCTTATATCACTCTTATCATCACAACTTCAATGAGCCGTTTGCGCAAGAGATTTTTTACGTAGGTCATTTAATCAATCGAATTTGTCAATGCATTTGACCGCACCCAACTTTTTCTTTCATCTTTAATTTGAGTTCTTTTTTCGGTTCGAACGTTGGAATTTTGACAAGGCTTTTTGCAACTTTCATTTTTAAAGTTTAGGTAATATTTTGAAGAGGTTGTTATGGTATATAGTTGTAAGAATGTAATACTATTATTGAAAAATTCATTTAAATCCTTGAAAATTTTGTATAAAAGATAAGACCAAAAGTTCTAATAGGGTAAAGCAAAAAAGTCTTGACGTCAATGTAACAAACTTGTATTTTTATAAACGACAAGACTTTTTGAAAACATAAATCAAAATTACAGTATAAAGAAACGCTTGGGTATTTTAAATTTGTTTGTTATAAAAACGTTTCAGTTTTACAAAAGTTTTAAATGCACTGTGTATAATATTATACTACTCAGCGTGTCTGTTAGCCAAGGATTTGAAAGTTGTTTGTTAAAAGAGTTTTTCGTTATATATAGTGTTTTAGTTTTGTTATACATAAGTTTTGCTGTGAATAGAAGCTTTGTTAACTGTTTTTTAGCCTTTTTTGTCCAGTTTGAATAAAAATTTTTGACAATTTTTTCAAAGAATAACTTTGACAAGACTTTTTATGCATTTTTCATAGCAATGTTTGCGGCTTGCAAATTTGAGTAAGAGGAAAGAGTATCAAGTAGTGTTCGGTCCTCCTCTTTCATCAAAAAAGGGTTTACAAAAGGTCAAGAATTTGGCATAATATCTTTTTAAAAAAGGTCTAGGTTATGGCTGTTTTGATCTGATTTTTTGACATTTTGAAGTTTTTATTCTTCAACTATTAATAAAAGAAACCAGTAGGTTATATTCAAGCTAATTGCGATTTTCTTACATAATATTTTAGTTTTCAGTTTAAATTAGCAGGTTCTTTACTACAAGAACCTCAATTTTATAAGCCTTGAGGTTATAATTTGGAACATAATTTAATTTTGCTTTCCTAAGTATTGAAAAAAAAATTTATTTGCAAAGCTATAAGTTTTTACTGTAAAGTTGATAGTAGGTCTCATCTCACAATCAACTTTTTTTTCTATTTTGACTTCAAATTCCATTAATATTTATTAGATATTACACTTTTGCGCGAACTTACAGATATTGTTATATTTAACCATCATCTTTGTATTTGCTTACAGCAGCTTTTTTGGATTTTCCATTTTTAGCCAGCTTATTGAAGGTAACTTAAAAAAATATTTAGGAAATGATACCTTTCTTCTTCTTAACCCCTTTGCTTGTACCCTTCCCCACTCTTCGTCAATTCATCAATAAAAACTAAAG